GAAAAAGTTCTAATGGTAGGTGTCTGTATGAATTCCGTATATTGACCTAAAGTCACCGGCCTTCTTGTGTACGCGATGAATAGCGGCTGTGTCAGATGAAGATGATAATGACCTTCGAAGCTAAATATAGCATTGAGGGAACAGGAATGGACGTAAACATAGCCGCAAGGACCCCCCAGGTCTCATCTTCAATAATGCTCTTTTTCCTGACCACTTGTCCAGATTTGGACGCTAGCCATACCGAAGGACCATGTCTAGAGTAAAGTCTGTCGGTTGAGACGATACATCGGTAATAGAGGGAAGAGTGGCTTTTGTTCAGCCATCCAGCAAGGCACCTTATCAATGGCCGATGAGAAGTTAGAGCTGCATGTAGACTCTTTGTCTAAATCATGGTCGGTATCTCTTGTGTTGCAATTCTCCTTGATTGCCCTGGCCAAGACCAACGTGATTATCGCATCTAGTCGAGGACGAATCAGTTCGTCGCAAAATGATGTTTCTCCTCTCGCGAAGTAACGATTCAACAATGTCCCTAAAGCAATGCATGAGTATTTCGAGGGCACAGTTATGAATGGGAACAGGGAGACACAAATGGGGTTATATCAACCTTGAAAAGGATAATTACCCATGCTAACGGGTTAGTCAATGGTTTGGCGCGTTGCAGTAGCTTGGAGGAGTTGAGCGGGCTTGAGTTTGCGGACCCCTAGTAGAGGGTGAGTCTAGAAGGGAGGAAAGGGGAGATGGAGAGTTTGGAGCAAGAATGCTATTTCAAAGCTTCTTTGCCGGGTTTATTTAGGACTACCGTCGTGCTGGTTGCAATTGTTTCCTGCGCAGCCAAGTCCTACCTAAGCGTCTCTTAGCCAGGAGGTTAACAAAGCATGTATTCATTATTTCATCATTGGCTAATGTGATACTATTCCATGTTGTACCATAGCTTCGGAGGAATTTGTATTATGACAGTGCTGGCAGTTACGTCAAGACGGCAGAATGGAGTCCTATTTCGTTTAGTCTTGAAGAAGGAGAATATTAATTTATCCTCATCTCAGTAGTGATGAGAGGAGCGACATTACATACGTTTCCAAATAATATCACTCCTACCTGGAAGACTTGGGTTCTGAAGGACTTTGTCATTTCCAAACGCTTGACATACATGATCCATCAACCAACATGTTAGCCAGATAACTGTATCACCTTGCTGCCAACACGATTATACATTTCCAAGAGCGATACGGCCTGAGATGAGATAAGCCGCAGTGGCATCACGGCGCAGTTTGAAATGGTGATACAAAGGAGTGATTGAAGGTCTGACAGTTATTCTCCGCGCGGGTGAAACCCTTGTGGATGGATACGAAGCGATATGATGTGATACGGACGATGTAGCGGCGAGGGACTTCTTTCCATTGTTCGCCCAGATTTAGATATGACATCGTATGATTATGCGAGGTCAAGGGGTTGCTTCTTCCCTGGGCGGATATGTGATCGTGGCTTCAACATCAACGCATTGCTGCCTGAATTCGGTGCATATCTAAATTCGCGTCGTATATGATGTTGAGCAAAGAATTGTAAAGCTGGCCAATGATATAAATCGACACCATGTCCGAGGAGTATAGTAGCATCGTATTCGATGCCTTCGTCTTCTTCGTGGGATATACATCACTGGGCTGTGCGTATCACCTCATCTCATCTCATTATCTTACCACATCCGACTTCTCTTCGCTGAACATCCCTTCCCGTCTCGGGGATATCTTATATTCCGCGTCATTCACACAAGGAGAGGTGTCTTTACCCGGAAGACAAGAATATAAATATCCTCCGTGCTTAGTGACCAAACTACGTCAAGATGCATCTCAGCATACCCAGCACCAAGCTTCTCATCACCCTCGGCATCGTCACAACCACCATGTCCACTACCACTAGCACGAGTCCAATGCTAACCCGCGATGTCTGCATCATCGGCGGCGGCGCAGCAGGAACCTACGCTGCCATCCGTCTTCAACAACTCGGCAAGTCCGTTGTCGTAATCGACCGCAAACCGCGTCTGGGCGGACAGACAACCACGTACACCAACCCAGCCGTCACCCCGCTTCCCATCGAATACGGGGTGACCTACTACCAGAACATGTCTATTGTGCAGGACTTTTTCGGTCACTTCAACATACCGCTGACCTACTCGGCATTCGATTACAAGATCGACATGTTTGACTTCATCACGGGAACGGCCATACCTGCTACTGCGGAGGCGGAATCCAACGCTGCTATGGATCGCTATATCGCGCAGTTGAAAGAGTACCCGTATCTAAGGGTCGGGCTTGATTTACCTGTTCCTGTGCCGGAGGATTTGGTGATGCCGTTCGGAGATTTCGTGCACAAGTATGATCTGGAAGCTGGGGTTGGGGACTTGGGGGGCTCAATTGATCCGTTGGGAAATTGGCCTGATTTGCCGACGCTTTACGTATTGAAGTACGCGAATTTAGATGTTTTGGAAGGCGATAGGACTGGGTTTGTGCGACCAAAGAGTCGGAACAATAGTGAGTTGTATGGGGATGCGGAGAAGGAGTTAGGGGAGGAGGGATTGTTGTTGGGGAGTAAGGTTGTCAGCATGGATCGGGATGGGGGTGCGGACTGGGTGTATGTGACGGTGAGAAAAGGAGAGGAGGAGACAACGGTCCAAGCTAAAAGCTTGGTGGTGGCTGTGCAGCCGAGCTTGGACAGTCTGAAAGGGTTTGACCTCGGGGTTAAGGAGAAGACTCTGTTTGGACAGTTCAAAAACTTGTTCTTCTATACGGCATTGGTGCGAGTCAAGGGGCTGCCAGATCGGACTTGTTACATGAATCGTGGGGCAAACGATCCTTTCTTGATCCCGAAATTGCCTGGGATGCTTGTGCTCAAGCCTACGGAGGCATCGGAGCTGAAGGTGGCGAATTATCTCAGCACGAAGGCGTTGTCGGAGGAGGAGGTGAAACAGGGTATGCTTCACGATATGGAAAGCATCCGCCGGAGAGCAAAAGTCGACTTTCCGGACCCAGAATTCCTCGCCATTGGGGATCACAGCCCGTACCAACTGACTGTTCCGGCTGAGGCCATCGAGAACGGATTCTACCGTGATCTCAATTCCCTGCAAGGGGAGCGTCGGACGTTTTACACCGCGGCCACATGGGAATCTCATAGCACACCGCAGATCTGGGAGTTCACCGAGCAGATGCTGCAAAGCCATCTCCTAAAGTCACTGTGACAACTTAATAGCCGATGTCAAGATAGAAGTTCAGTGAATATGAGCAGATGCTAGCGTATCACTTTCACGTAGGTCGTTAAACTTAGCTTGTAACAAGTCCGCAGATCCTTGCGGGAGGCACCGGCAGCGGAGTAGAACTGGGATACTGTCAGACAAAGCAGAGAGGGCATGTATTTTCCGAAACTCCGCGGCTATGCGTCCATCCGATAGGCCATGAGGATGATTCGGATGATTCGATAGGTAGCCGAGACCGAGGTCATTAGCTGTGGAGACCCGAGTTTTAAGGTCAGCTGTGAAACGTTGTACAGGCGTTGTCATTTTCTCACACAAACGCTTGGTGACCGATAGCCCAGATCGGACATGACCAGTTGGATATTCTCCGATCAGGAAGTACGAGATATCATTCTTGCGCACAGACTGTTGTCTCGAGACAGATGTAACCCTATTTCAAGTTCATGTAGGACATGGCCAATGAATATTGATGAGATAATTGCAAAGTACTCCATCATTAACAAGAAAGCGCAAAATAATCACAAAAACAACGGACTTCGCTGGGCCGCCCTGCATTAACCCGAGCTGAGCTCACTATACGGAGCCATTGCTACTCAACACACCGGAATTTCGCTTCCTTCTTCCACTCACTGGCAATCTCTAGCTGACCAGTCTGGTCGTTAACAGCCAAGAAACGATTACTGTAATATCCGCCAGGTACGATGGGGATAAGCCCGTACTATGATAATCGGGAGGCCACACGTCAGTAACGTGGGATCCGATAGCGACTAATTTTGCGGCAGGCCAGCTTACCTCCAGTGCGTCATCGCTGTAACCACGTGTCTCAACCCAGATGTTATACACACAGTTATCATACACGAAGGCTACCTGGAAACGCTGGATGAGATCATGTGTACTGGATGTAACAAGAAGGGGATTACATACCTTGTCTGGGATTCCGAACTTCCCAATCAACTTCGAGTGCGAGAGCGAGACATTAGCACCAATTCGCAATGGATCAGAATAAGGAGCAACTAACGCCATCATCACGACAGAGCCAGAACTCGCCATTAGCCCGGAGCTTATCCCCTGGGCTAGGCTGGTGGTCGTTTGAATGGAGAGACAGGAGATTCTCGTCATCGATGGCTAGAACACGGCCGGTGAAGGAGGTGAAGAGACCAGAGTGACTCGGCATTTTGCAATGGATCGACAGTGTGTGAAAATCATGGAAGCTACTGCAAGCAATGTGATGGCGATTTCAATTTAAAACTGAAAGGGTGGGAACCGTAGCTTAAAGCGGGAATCTTTTTATGACGTGTTCCATCGCTTCGCATGATGCAAAAATGTAGAATCGTACCAAGTTGAGCGTTTCATGGCATCGGCTCACTGTGGCTGGCCATGGCCCTCGTGGCCTTTACTGTAGGGGGCTTACTCCGCTCTTTCCAAGTAATATGATGAAACATAGTCGGCCAGTAAGCCTGGGGACCAGGTCTTAGAAACAAACAAGAAATACGGAGATGATGATGAAGTCATTCTTAGGAGAGAGGGGCGTGCTGCGAACACGAACATTGAATCTCACATCATCTCCAACGGGAATGCCGTTTGAAGTCTCCTGATGTCTCAATGCTAAGCGACCACAGCAAATGCTGTAAACAGCAGGACTTTATATGACACCACACGCCTTGCATGACTTATTCGAATCTCCTCGGGATTGCATTCCATAAGCCATGATTCCGCATCTTTATTTTTTTCTGTGCATTCTGCAGGAAACACAAGCACAATGGATCAGGCGAACAATGACAGCAAAAAGACACATTGCTTTTCCCAGGCAACAGTGAATGCCATGTGGGCTGCCAGGCTATCGCCAATGAGCGTGCAGGCGGTTCATCAGGCATCGGCGTTCCAGGAAGAGATGGTTGTTGCAACGATTGCGGACAGCAAGCATCAGGTCAACGTGGAAGCACAACACTTCACCTGTCGTGAAAGACTCAATGTGGCTCACTTGAACAATGCCGCTCATGCACTGGCCCGAAGACATGTTGTCCTACGTTCCCTCTTTTGCTGGAATGATCATGCCACAAAACAACATCCCGCCCGGATATTGATGTTAGTTCTTGGAACCGATTACCCAGTAGCAAATATCAAGCTTGTCAGTGAAGGACCGACCCAGGATACGAATACAGAAGATTCCCCTATCGAATTTCATGTGCTGGGTTTGTCTGGCGCTTCAGAAATTCGCCAATGGCATGGAGAGATGCCATGGAGGTTAACAATCAACTCATTGCCTGACCAGAAAGGTTCTCGTCTATCACTGTGCTACCATACCGCAATCCTGGACGAGTCTTCGGCTTGTCGGATGTTGCGCTACCTGTGGGATGAGCTGCAGGCCCCCGGTTCCACCGTCGTGTCTGACTTCATTGCAGCCCACAAGGGCCAGGCGTTCCGACGCAGCCATGATATGCAACGTCGGGTTCGAGAAAGATTTGCGGGAGCACCTCCTCTCCTAGCCGTCCTCGGTAGCACACAGCCACTTGACAGAGAGGGGTATGGTGTGACGATCGACAAAGTGGCTATGCCTTACGCTCGGGCCGATTGCCTCTTGAGAGCGCGGCAGGCCCTATACATGGCACTCTGCACATTGGATGGGACACAAGAGGCCACATTTTTAGAGTTAACGCCACACAGAGGGGCACTCCCCTCGAACCATAGAGAGGTTTTGGGTCCAATTCTAGTGCCTCAGATTCGTTGGACTCAACATGATAGAAACACATCACTCCCAAGAATCGCTGAAAGTCTTGCTTCGGGATGCGACATTAACCACGCCTTCTCACCTGGCGAGCTGTGTTCCTTCATTTCGAACGTGGCATATCGACCTTCAGTGTCTCTTATTTGCCACATCGAGTCATGTGCCTCCACTGGAGTCGAAGCCTGGACTTGGGAAGGCAAAGATTCATGGTCAGATGTCCCTTTGGTAGTCGAACTGATTCCATGTGGTGGGGAGTTCTACCTCGTCCGCATTCGCTACCACCGTGACCTATTCAAAGACAACCCAATTGCAGCATTCCGACAGTTCTTTTGCGCATCGCTAGAATGGCAAAAATGTGAGCATGATACATGGAAAGACATTACCCTCGAGTTTGCGGTCCACCATATCCTGAGTTCATGCCCCGATGCAGCTGTCCAGCTGGAAAACCAGAAGAAGATCCAAACCAACAATGAGCATGCCGGTGAGTCTCCACAGACTACCATGCTCAGTAGTACATCGCACACTACCATAGAGAAGTGCACTGGACATACATATTCTTCTCTGAGTAACGCGAGGGCCGAAGGTGGTGCATGTGCGCATCACCTGCTGGAGCGGAGTGCTAGAAGATTTCCCGAGAAGATTGCCCTGCAGTATGAGATTTCCAATTATTTGACATATAAGGACTTGAACGATCGTTGTAACCAGCTTGCTGAATCCTTATCTTGTTGGATCGAGCGTACCAAACCAATGTGTCCTGGTGAAGAAATCATTATCCCACTTTCATTCGACAAAGGGTTTGAGGTGGTTATAGCTATGTTCTCGGTGCTGAAGGCAGGGGCAGCTTTCGTGCATATCGATGCGAGTCTGCCGGCTAGCCGAATAGCGGGGATCATTCGGAAGGCAGGGGCGCCATTCATTCTTTACGATGGAAAGGCTGACACGCCTAAGTTGAACGAAGTTGCCAGGAGGGAAGGCATGGAAATCGTTGCGCTCAACGATTTGGCCAGGATGCAGGACAAGCGTCCACTTCCATTCACCCGGAAAGAGCAACCGGCGTCCTCGCTTGCGTACATTCAAGTGACGTCTGGAACGACTGGGGAGCCGAAATGTATCATGATAGAGCACCGCAACTTGGTGGCTTTCATGGAAGCCGACGAGCCGGAGTTTCTAGGAAGTTGGATGACCAACAAGCTGCAGCTCTCAAACCGCACCTTTGACATAGCCATGGCTGACATATTTGGCACGTTGGGGCGTGGAGGAAGATTGGTGTTCGGCCCAGACGCAGAGATACTGTCCACTCTGGCAACATGGCTAGAGATGACCAGCGTGACGGATCTGAATACGTCTCCCTTGATCGCAGACGTGCTGAAGGACCATGTCCCAGCTTACCTGAGTATCCTGATGGTCGGCGGAGAGCCCTTCCATCCCTCCCTCATAGAGGGCATCCCTAAGCAGTGTCGATTATACAACAACTATGGCCCAAGCGAAACAACTTTTGTAGCGACGACATACACTGTATCAGAGGAGGATGAAAATAAGTCAAACGTCCCGGTTGGCCGCTCTTTTGGATCATGTAATATTCATATACTGGCACCTGAAAGCACTGAAAGGGTCAAAAGCGGAGATGTTGGTGAGATCTGCATCAGTGGGTCCCAAGTATCCAGGGGTTACCTGGGACAGCCCGAGCTTACTGGTAAAAGCTTTGTCTCAGATCCGTCTGCGAAAGATGAGAATTGCAAGCTGTATCGCACTGGAGACCTTGGACGATTTTTACCCGACGGAAGACTGGAGTATACAGGGCGCAAAGATACACAAGTGAAACTTCGAGGGCAGCGTGTCGAAACACTCGAAATAGAAATGGAGATTAGGAAGCATCCTCGAGTGAAGGCTTGCGCAGTCACCACAGGCGACTCGAGCCATGGAATGGCGCTCGTTGCATTCATTGAGACACAGCCGAACCACCAAGACTCATTTACCGATGCGACAGCTGAAGAGCGCCTCTGGGCGAGTCTGGTAGATGAGATCAAGACCGTTCTATCCCAGAGCCTGCCAGACTATATGATACCAGCGCGCATTGTGAAGCTTGATGATGGCTTACCTCGTTTACCTAGCAACAAGCTTGATCAGAAAGCACTGTCATCTCGAGCAACAGAAGCCTTAGCAAGCCAAGCGTCCCAAGCGGCATTGGAATACGTCCGTCCACGGGACGAGGTGGAAAGACATGTCTGTGAAGCTTTCAGCAACGTGTTTTCTTGCCAGGTTGGCATTACAAACAGTTTTTTGGATCTTGGAGGACACTCTGTCACAGCGATACGGGCAGCGAGTAAAATAAGGAAACACCTCCGCACTGTTATCACCTTCCGGGATGTTTTGGAATGCTTGACCCCGGAAACGCTGAGTGCTCGCATTCGTGCTTCTGCGGAAAACATACCGCAAAGTCTACCGACGTATCTAGCTCCAGATAGCATGACTGTTGAGCAATCGTTCGCACAGGGGCGCTTGTGGTTCTTGGAACAGCTCCATCCAAATTTGAGCTGGTACCACATGCCACTTGCATTCAGGTTGCGAGGGAAATTGCACCTCGACGCCTTAGAGTCCGCTTTACTAGCGCTTGAGGAGCGTCATGAAACGCTGCGAACGACATTCGAAGTAAAAGGCGACGTGAATGTCCAAGTAGTCCATCCCTTTTCGCTGAAAGGTATCCGAATATTGGATCTTACTGGGGACCCTAGTCACGAACGGCTTTACTCGGTCCTTCATAGTGAGCAAACAAAGCCATTCAACCTTACAGATGAACCCGGGTGGAGAGTAGCCGTGGTGCGAGTTAGCTCCCAAGAACATGTTCTTTCCCTCGTCATCCACCATATAATTGCAGATGGATGGTCTTTGGGGGTGGTCTTGCGAGAGCTCACATTGTTCTATTCTGAGAGCCTCCGTGGAAAGAATCCCTCGTTGAGATTACCGCCCCTACCAATCCATTACCGAGGGTACTCGCTATGGCAACGTTAGGAGGGACAAATCCGGCAGCAGCAGCGTCATTTAGCGTATTGGACAAAACAGCTGCGAGGCAGTCACCCGGCCGAATTCCCGTGTGATAAGCCTCGGCCTGCTGTGCCATCAGGACAGGCTGCTGTGAGGGAAATCAAGATAGGCGGTGCTTTGTACAGGGTTTTGGAAAGACTCTGCAAGCGACATTCGATAACACCCTTCGTCTTTCTACTGGCAGCTTTCCGCGCAGCTCATTACCGAATGACAGGGGCAGCTGACGCGACTATCGGCACTCCAATCACCAATCGCAACCGTGAGGAACATGAAGATATAATTGGGCTGTTCGTGAACATGCAGTGTATGAGAGTCGAAATTTCGGAAAGCGATTCCTTCGGGGTACTGGTTCAACGGGTAAAGGAGACAGCAGCGGCGGCATTTGAGCACAACGAGGTGCCTTTCGAGATGATCGTTTCCGAGCTACACCCAACACGGGATACGTCACGCAATCCACTGATTCAGACTATCTTCGCCTTTCACCCAGAACGTGTTGATAAGATCAGACTCGAAGGCATCGATTCGGAACTGATTAGCCTGACTCATGCGACAAGGTTCGACCTCGAATTTCACGTCTGCCAGTGTGAAGATGGCCTGGAGGGTGATATCATATTCTCCACTGAGCTTTTCCATGGTCGAACGATCGACATATTGCTGTCGATCTTTCAAGATATATTGAGAGTCGGCCTAGAGGATTTACATACAGCTATTGAGACGATCCCCTTGCCGAGCGCTACTTCCGCACTTGAAGATATGGACCTCTTGGGGATTCGCCGCTCAGAGTACCCTCGGAGTTCGAGCATAGTCGATGTATTCCGCGAACAGGTAGCTGCACATCCACATAGAACAGCAGTCAAGGACAATCAGTATCAATGGAGCTATACCAGGCTTGACCTAGAGTCCGACAAGATGGCAGGTTGGTTGCGTGATTTTAAACTGCCAGAAGAGAGTGTGATCACGGTTTTCGCAAACAGATCGTGCGAGACCATCGCAGCGTTCCTGGGAATACTTAAGGCAAATATGGCCTATCTTCCACTAGATATCAAGTTCCCAGCTGCTCGAATAGAGACCATTCTTTCTTTTATTGAAGGAAATAGAGTTGTTCTGGTCGGCTCCGGATGTGAATTTCCAATTACCCACTTGGATCGGGTAGACGTCGTCCCCATGGCACGACTGTCGAGCGGTATTGGTCAGAGCCCTGCATATGTTGATAATATAATGCCTACTCCCAAGAGCCTCGCATATGTTATGTTCACCTCGGGCTCCACCGGACAGCCAAAAGGGGTCATGATTGAGCACAGGGCGGTTGTGTCACGAGTGAAGGGTTGCGGTTTACTCAAGGAAGAGGTTACCGCAAAGCCATTCGCCCACATCTCCAGCATTGCTTTTGATGCAGCAGTTTGGGAGATATACACTCCTCTGCTCAACGGCGGCACTGTCATTTGCATTGACAGTGTGACAATTACGGACTTTGAAGCCTTTTCCAACGTCCTCCATGCGGAAGGCATTAGGGTAGCACTTATTACACCCGCCCTGCTGAAACAGCTTCTGACAGATTCATCGGTTTTGATCTCTAAGCTTCATACACTGGTCGTGGGCGGAGATCGAGCGGATCCCCAGGACATGATCAAAGCACGCAAGCTAGTTCAGTGTGATGTCATAAATGCTTATGGCCCAACGGAGAATACCGTTATCAGTACCTTTTATCGAATTGCAGAGGGCGACGGATATCATAACGGTGTACCGATTGGACAAGCAGGGCCCAACTCGGGGGCGTATGTTGTGGATCAGCAACTATGTCCAGTGCCACCCGGTGTAATCGGTGAACTTGTTGTTGTCGGTGATGGCCTAGCGCGCGGCTATACCGATACACGAAGGGATGTTAATCGTTTCGTCAACATTGATATTCACGGTCAGGTTCTCAGAGCATATCGCACAGGTGACCGAGTTCGTCGCCGTCCGATAGACGGACAGCTTGAATACATTGGCCGGTTGGACGGCCAGGTCAAAATTCGAGGTTTTCGTGTTGAGACCGAGGAGATCGAGCACGTTCTTCGCAGTTCAGAGCTAGTCGAAAGTGCCGCGGTGCTCTTCCAGCAGCCCGATGATCAAGAGGGCCGACTAGTAGCTTTTGTCACGTTGTTGAAGGGGGGCGATAAGCAAGTCCCCATGGAGATAGCAAGGGGTAGGGAAGAACAGGAATCAGAACAGGCTTGGAAGCAAATTTTCAATGAAGTCACTTACGACAGCCAGATCGACCCTCGTGAGGCCGGTAGAGACTTTTCTGGATGGAAGTCAATGTACGATGGTACGGACATCGACAAAGAAGAAATGGGGGAGTGGCTGGACGACACAATCACAACGCTGCTCAATGGTGCACCGCCAGGCAACGTGCTCGAGATTGGGACCGGCTCAGGGATGATTCTCTTCAACATTGCAAGCGATCTGCAGACCTATGTCGGCCTTGAACCGGTACAGTCGATACTGGAATTTGTCAAGACTATGATGGACAAAGTTAATCCGACTCTAGCAAGCAAAGTACAGCTGCATGTCGGAAGTGCCAGTGATTTAGACAAGATATCGTCCAACATTTTATCGCCCGACCTTGTGGTAGTGAACTCTGTTGCGCAGTATTTCCCTAGTGCAGAATACCTATCCAGGCTCATCTTAGATCTTCTGCGAAAGCATCAGGCCAAGACCCTCTTCTTCGGAGACATACGTTCATACGCTCTATATGCTCAATTCCAGGTCACCAAGGCCCTGCACAGAGAAGGAAAGATTAGTCCAGAATATATCCGTCAAAGCATGGCAGATACTGTGGAGAATGAAACTGAGCTACTGATTGATCCTGCTTTCTTCACGTCCCTAGCAGCTGAATTCCCAGATCTCGTCCACCACGTCGAGATACTTCCGAAAAGAATGCGAGCGACAAACGAACTTAGTTGCTATCGTTATTCGGCCATCATCCATGCTGTGCGACAAGTCTACCTCCCCATCATTCATACCGTAGACGCAGATCAGTGGATCAACTACAGCGCCCAAGGTTTAAGCCGGAATGGGCTCTTAGATCTATTGAAGGAAGGCTCGGAATCAGCCGTTGTAGCCATCGCCAACATCCCGCACAGCAAGACTATATTCGAACGACTAGTCGCTGAGGCATTTTCCAGCCGGACAAAAATGACAGATATTGGTTGGCTACCATCGATCCGTCAGAATGCAGATGAAGTGGATGGACTCTCGGCAATGGATCTTGTTGATCTGGGTACCTTGGCAGGGTTCCATGTGGAACTAAGTTGGGCGCGACAATTTTCCCAACACGGAGGACTGGATGCCATCTTTCACCGCATCAAGTCCCAGGATGGACGACAAAGAACCATGTTTCGATTTCGCAGCGATCATGAAGGTCGCTCAACTGAAGATTTCAGCAACCAACCAATGCAAGGTCAGCCGACCCGCCATATCATAAGAGAACTCCAGCAATTCTTGAAGATACGCGTGCCTTGGTACATGGTTCCGGCTGTGATAAGGGTTCTTGGCGACATGCCTAATAATCATAGTGGCAAGATAGACAGACAAGCTCTGTCTCAAATCGCAGCCACGATGGCACCTAGGCAGGCACCAGTTGACATGACCTTCGTGCGTCCGAGAACTAAGTTCGAAGTGATTGTCTGTGAAGCATTCGGTCATGTCCTTGGATGTGAGATGGGCGTTACAGAGAATTTCTTCGATCTCGGTGGACACTCCTTGATGGCCACAAGAGCAATATCCAAGATTGTTGAGCGCACACAGTGTGCCATTACGGTCAGAGACTTGTTTGACTGCCCAACGCCAGGAGCTTTGGCAAATAAGATGTCGACAATCTGTGATGAACGTAGCAAAGCAGAAGCAGAGGGTGACAGAATACAAGGCATTGATGAGTCTGCTGATTACGAACCGGTCGTGCACGATGAATGGAATCAAGCTGTGGAGGCAGTCGGCATTTGCGCAGCAGACGTAGTGCACATAATGCCGTGTTCTCCCTTTCAGGAGGGCGTCCTTACTGCCGACCTCGTCCTCGGAGACTCTCCCGCTTATTTGGCTACCATGAAGCTGAAGTTCGACGGACACCTCGACGAGGATACGTTGCAATCAGCGTGGTATTTAACGGTAGCACGAGAGGAAATGCTTCGAACAGCCTTCATGCCATCGACGCAAGATTTGTCCTTGAGCGGAATGTGTAGTGGAGCCTTTCTGCAGGCCGTCCTCCGGTACGACTCCAACGAAGTGGAAAGGGTCTCGAGACTACGGCAACAGGAGTATAATCAGCCGCCTGACCTTGGGATGGGCCATATACCGGTTTCATTGGCATTGAGGCAAGACGACGTGACAGGTTTCAGGCAAGTTGAATTGACAATGCATCATGCCCTATATGATGAAGCCTATCTGTCGTATATTCTGGACGGCCTGTCTCGTGATTATCACCATGCTCAAAGCCATAGCCCAAGAAACGATGACAATAGCAGCCACATGCCGTTCATAACGTTCATTCACACGTTGCAACAGAAGGATCGATCGGTAGGCTCCTCCTTCTGGAAGAAATACCTAAATGGGGCACCAGCATGTACTTGGCCAATTCCATGTGGTCTCAGAGGTCCTATGGACGGAGTTCGAATCCCACATGAAGTTCATGCTGAATGGAAAGGAGATGCAGTAGCACTGTCAAGAATTTACAACACCACCGCGGCCGGTCTTGTTCGAGCAGCTTTAGCTTTGTCCATTGCTGTACATAGTGACTCAGACGAGGCTATTTTCGGTGAGGTTTCGAGTGGCCGAGCTCACTCGGAATTCGTCAAAGGCCCCTGCATCGCCACCCATCCGGTACGAATCCCGCTTGCAGTGAACCCGAAGAAACATTCTAGTGACGGACCACGAGGGAGAATTTCAATAGAAGAGCTCGTCACGCGCACCCGAGATGCATACTTAAACACGATGCCATATCAGCATCTTGGAATTGATTCTATTCGACGCTTGACTGAGAACCCCGACTTGCTTCCTTTCCAGGTGCTTTTTGTTTTTCAGGCACAAGTCACAAATGCCAAGAATCACAGATTTCCATGGAGCCGATTCAGTATTGCCGACGGTGAGTTAAAGCGTACGGACTTTCCCATGGTGCTTGAAGTGTTCTGTCAAGAGCTCACAGGCCATCTTCACATGCGATGTGTGTTTGACCCGGTGGCAATACTTCCGGCAGATGCAGATTGGGTGTTGCAGCATATCATCGACTCAATTGACCTCATGCAAACACGTTCCATGCAACATAAGGAAGATCAATCAATGCCCTGAGGCTAAGCTCGTAATCAAGGAGCGAGAGATAACTGTCATCGAACAATTGTTGGGCCACCAAGATGGGGGATCGTCTGAGGGCGGTGGTGCGTTGTCTACCGTTATCGAACTCTTTCGCAAGTGCGCAATGGAAATGCCAGACAAGATTGCTTTGCAAGTTCAAAGGAGTGATTTTATTACGTTCAGACAACTCGACGACCTTAGCAATCAGATTGCTTTCGGCCTTGAAGGAATTCTTAACTATCAAACAAGTGCGACCACCAAGCAGCGATACGTGCCGATCTTCTTCGAGAAGTCATATCACATGGTTGGCGCCATTTTGGGCATCCTGAAGGCCGGAGCAGCTGTTGTTCCCATGGACATTGAACATCCGATGCAGAGGCTGGAGACAATATGCGTAACAAGCGCAGCCACTGTCTTCCTTTGGGACGGCATAAATGGTGGCGAGAAGCTACAAAGTCTTGTCAGGTCAACGGGCGCAACTGCACTGACAGTAGTTGATCTTCTCCAAAATAACAGCCAGACGTACAAGCATAAAATTCTACCCCTGGACTCTCTGGCTTATGTGCTTTTTACCTCAGGATCAACCGGTATTCCAAAAGGAGTGATGATCAATCATCGGAACTTGGCATCATTTTTGTCCTCCAATAGAGGAAGTACGGACTGCTCATGGACTTCAAACAGGCTCGCGCTTCTTGCTCCAACCTTTGATGCGGCAATGGGAGATTTGTTCGCCACGCTCTGCAAAGGTGGCCGTCTCTTGTTGGGTAAACAACAGGATATTCTCTCCGGGTTGAGCCATTGTTTAGAAGGTCTGAGTGTCACACATCTGTCACTAACTCCCACGTTGGGTACGCTGATGCTGAACGACCTTGACAACGAAGGGCTATCTGTTCTGCGCTCTTTGGTCTTTGGGGGTGAGCCTTTCCCACTCAGTACTTTGAGCCGTATACCCAGAGCAATAAAGGTCTGGAACGGTTATGGTCCTACCGAGGCAACCATTGAAGTAGCTGCCTGCAAGGTACAAGGGCCAGATGTTGATGTGTGCGGAGGCCGATCGTTTGTTCCCATCGGAGAGCCCGGCCAGAACAGACACATTCGGGTGTTATATCCCGAAACTACAGAGCAAGTCCCACTGGGTTCAGTTGGTGAGGTATGTATTAGTGGACTACAAGTGGCACAAGGCTACCTAGGCCAAGCCGACTTGACCGCGAAACATTTCACACCTGACCCATTCTCCCCAACGGGACGCGGGATAATGTATCGTACGGGAGATAGAGCAAGACTCCACGGAGATGGATACCTTGAGTACCTTGGTCGCATGGATGGGCAGATAAAAGTTCGAGGCTTCCGAGTTGACGCTGAAGAGGTTTGCTCGGTGGCGCAGGAGCATCCACAAATCATTGCATGTGCTGTGACTAAGCTTCAGAGCAACGGAACTGAGACCCTGACAGCGTTCGTTGAAGCAGTCCATCCACTCCAGCCAGAAAATGTCATAGGTGAATCCACAATCAAGGAGCATCTAGCCCAAAGTCTTCCCGCCTACATGGTTCCAGCCTTCATCTGGGTGCAGACAACACCCTTACCGCGTACAACAAGTGGTAAATTAGACAGGATCGCTATCGCCAAGATGGCCGAGGACAGACATAAAGAGAGTCTAAAAGACCGTTCGAGGCACTCTCACACGCCTGTTCCCGCCGCGCCGGGAAGCCTAGAAGACAAGATAGCTTCACTCTGGGCAAAGGTGCTGGGGATCAACGAAGACTCTGTTGACATCACTGCAGCTTTTCACAAGATGGGCGGTGACTCCATTCGCGCAATAGCATTGCTTGCAATACTTCGTCGACAAGAGCTACACCTGGACTTGATAGACGTTTCACAGACTTCAACAGTGCAGTCGCAAGCAGCCAGAGTTCGTCAGGGGTCAGCCGCCAAAAACAATGCAAGTTACCTACATTTTCACATGCGCCAAGGGAGTATGGCAACCATTGTCCTTGTTCATCCGTTCCTTGCGCAATCCATGGTATTCGAGCCTCTGCTGCCATTACTAGACGGCACGATTGATGTCCTCCTAGTTGACGACCCATTCATGGGCGCAGCTCGTTATCCCGAGACGCTTTCGCAGTGGGCTAGTCGTTACTTAGCTGATATGAAAGAGCATATTCAGCTTGACCACCCTGTGATATTTGGGGGGTATTCATTTGGTGGATTCATTGCATTCGAGATGGCCCATAAATGGGACCAATTATACGGTGCCCATTCCAGCTCGGTAGTCCTACTCGACCCTGGCACTTATGAAGTGGATAACAGAGTATGGAATGGTGAAAGTGAGAAGGACAATTTGATCATCAGCTCGCTGGGCAGATCGGAGATCAGTCCTCAAGACATCCTACCGCTTCGAAAGTGCTTTGATGGCTATGTTAGAGCCTTGAAGCAATCTAAAAGTCCACCAGTCTATGAGGGTAAGTGCCTTCATGTGGCCTTACCCGATCGGCTCCAGGACGGAGTCGTAGGTTGGTGGAAGGCACATTGCACCAACATCACTTTGGGCGTCGTCGACTGCGACAACCATTACGCGTTGATGAAGGATGCAGGCTGCGTGGCTAGAATCAGTCGGTTCATTCATGAGCACTGCAACTCCGTTATAGAAGAGAATCGAGCAGTGAGCAGCGCGAGTTCAGAGTCCCGGATGAATGGGGGATCTTCGAGAACCGACGTGTCGACGGAAAATGGAGACACGAAGGAGCAGACCAGGTGACTATCTAAATAGGACTAGCGCGTCTCTTCGTATCTACAGCCCGATCCGGAATAGTCGGTCGGGCATAACTAAGTAAGTTAACTGTTCATGATTTGTCATCTATGAAGATTCCCGCAATCAAAGAAGCCAGCCTCCAAGATTCCCAGATGTAGATGCTTGACGAACTGAAACATCCGACAGAAACCATTGTATCCATTTGGGGCCAGACGAGCGGATCAATCATATTCATCCCTCAACAGCTACAGGGCCCACTTCGGTAACCCATTCGCCGGAAGAGGTATCACATCACCACCGCTGTTACCTGCACTTTAGTGCATCAACAAACTAGACACCATGCAGGATCAAACGGCCAAACACCTGTCAGCACTAGTTCACAATAAGCAAGCTCTGTTGTCTCAAATCTTTCATCTGGGGCTGAAATCATGGTTCTCGACCAGTCAAATCCAGATTCCCGACTAAGGACCGCTACATATAAAGTTTGACCTACACGCTCCGAAACTTGCTTATCTTCAATCTACCACCACAAGAGACATCATATATACTCGGGGCAGTCACTACCCTTGATTAATAGCTCTTTTACGCAATTCGTATCGTAAGGGCCATCCCATCAACACCCACCTGCATCAAAATGGGCCAATCCCCCTCCACCCCCTGACCGACGGCAAGCCCTCGCCCTCATAGACCGGCAATTAGACGGCTACGCCGCCATCACAGACGCCCCGGGTACCCAACTCGTCCCAGAACTGATGGAAATCTACCCCGACGCCAAGGCCATCTGCACCGTTCGCGACCCGGTCGCGTGGGAGAAGAGCATGGCGCAACTGGAAGGTCTGGTGCGATCGTCGTGGTTTCTGCGCGCCATAATGCTGCCGATTCCTGGAATGAGGCATTTTATGGATTATCTGGCGTTGGTTGCTTTGCAATGGCGGCGGATATATGGGAGGAATGGGGGTCCGGGTGGTGCCTATCATAAGCATATTGAGTGGTTGAAGGAGGTGGTTCCAGAGGAGAGGTTGGTGTTTGTTGATGTTAGGGATGGGTGGGAGCCGTTGTGCAGGGCGCTGGGGATGGAGGTGCCGAAGGATATACCGTTTCCGAGGGTTAATGATTCCGAGGCGATCACTCGGACAGTAAGACGGCATGTTCGTCGTGGGTTGATTCGGTGGGTGGGTATATTTGCTGTGGTTGGTGTTATGTCTTTTGGGGTGTATTTTCTGCGCAGGTGAAGGGAGTGCCATTGGCGTGTACGGTTTGCTTATCTTCAAACGGTCCATAACTTAGAGATGAAGAAAATATAAACTTTCTACTACATTTATACCATGGCGTAATAACTTCCTTTTGAAGACTGGCACTTATTTAAGTGGCATGCAGCGCATATGTATAATCGGCTGCAATTTTTCCTACCGCGAGAGATACCGATCCAGGATGGAGATAAAGCATGCATCTGGTCGATGTTAGACACAGACCCATACTCCCTACACTAGACAATGGAGAGGTCTGCGGTATTTGGTTCAGTTTTAGTGATCAACGAATCAATTCATGTAGACACCGATCAGTTGGGGGTTTGCTTCCGGGCAATTGGCATCAATACGCGGTATCATATTACACAACGGTAGGCATCAATACCACTGGAACAGAGACAGCCCTAACCGACCAGAACATCTGCCAATTTCGGACCCCATGAGCTCACCTGTTCACAGATCAGTCAGTCACTCAATCTTCATTCATTACTTGCACAAGTTCTACATATAAGGAAGGAGGCAACTCACATTCGACGCATCCATTAATGAAAAGTGATTCCCCTCAACGCGGATCACTCGCACATTATCCAGTAAATCCTCCCACCCCAGTGCCCCGTCGTCGACCCGATCATCCAAAAACCATTCCACGGCGCTCTGTTCGTCGCTTTCCACCTTCGGTCGAGGCACGGTCTCTTGCTTGTCGACCCCCTCGCGCGCTGAAAAGAGAACCACGTCTCGGATGATACCCTCTTGCAACCCCCGCAGCGGACGCACACGGTATTGCCGCAGCTGTTCCCGAGATAAAGTGAAGTGGGCGCTGCTGCCCACGGTTCCCTGGGCACTATTATTGTGGTTATTGGTCGCGTCAATCGTATCCAGGAACTGCACTAGTTCATCAGGGAATGAGTGCACCTTGCTTGGGCTCGCCGAGTCGATCAACATCAGCCGCTCCACGATTTCACCCGCTTCCACCAGTTGGCGCGCTGCCTCGAATGCCACCACCCCGCCCAGCGAGTAACCCCCAATGAGATACGGTCCCGTCGGCTGTCGCTTTTTGATCTCTTCCATATAAATACTTGACAACACCTCAATGGAGGGTAGCTGATCGATATTAACGCGATTCGTCGCCACCAATGACAGGAATGGGCTACTAAGTGCGTAGGCCGAAGTATCCGGTACGCGCGCCAAGTACGGTGCTAGCGCCGTAAAAACGGCCCCCGATCCGAAGCCGTCGGGCATTAGGAATAGATTGCGCTGCCCAGTCATAGCGACAGACCCCCGATGCAATAGAGTTGAGGGCGCTTTGAGGTTTTGCTGCAGTTCCTGCCATGGCTTTGGGGAAGCAGGAGTAGTGAAGCCGCACACCACCTGTACACCGCGCTTTTCTTGGCTGACGCTTTGGGACCAGTCAACGTGCGGAAAGCCGGCTTCATGCATCACACGCTCCCAGGCATGTGGACTCTGCAGTGGGTAGTCCCGGCCGTCGTCGAAAAGCCACCACCCATCCAGGAGCCCCCAGACCAGGTCGTACCACGGCAATTTCTCTGTCAGTTCGAGCAACGCTACGCATCCATCATCTGGACGCAGGACCCGGCGTATATGCTGCAGGCTTTGGCGGAGGTCTCGGGTTGCATGAACGCAGTTAGCGGAGATGAGCAGGTGGTAGTGCCCGTGGAGCTCTGGCTCCGGGACTGCCTCGAGATCAAATTGGCGGAATTCCATGCAAGCGACGCCAGCAAAATTTGTCCGTTTTGCGCGCGCGAGAAGAGACACAGAGAGATCGGTAAAGGTGTAGGTAAAGGGAATGCCAGTGGCCCGGAGGAGCGGAATGAGATGTTTGGTTGTGCCTCCCGTGCCAGCGCCAACTTCGAGAATGTGGAATGGCTCTGCGTTGTTTGCAGCTTCCGCATGAGCACTGATGGCAGCCGAGACAAAGTCACAGAGGACCTGAGTGGCGGCGCGAATATCGGGTGCATTGGCGTGAAATTCTTCGAGCAAGTGTCGCCCACGCTCACTGCCAAAGAGAAGAGGCACTGGATCGGCGTGGCCGATGAGGTACTCGGCGAGGTGCGGTCCGAGAAGATCAGGTAGCCCGTGGGTGGATGCAAAGACAGGAAATTCCTCCATTAACTCCTGGCTCAGCTGGGCTGCAGGCTTGACTGGAGGGGATGCGGGTCCGCAGATGAAGACTTCGTGGTCGGCTTCCGGTTTATTCCTGATGATGCTGGCTTCCACAAGAATGTCATGCAGTCGGCGGACGAGACGATGATACTTGGGTAGTATTCCTTGCAGAAGTGGCAACGTCTCCCCGGGCTGGAGCTCGCGGATTGGACACCCCAAGTTCTTGAACGCTTCCAAGATAAATGCAGACACGACTTGCAACTGCACAGGATACACATTCTCCCAGTAGCCTGACAACTGGAAGGCTTTAGCACGGTCGTCATAATTGCGGCGGATCTCCTGAAAGACGGTTGGCATAACTGGGTCCGATGGAGCCAATGCATCCGAGATGCCTGATGAACCTGTGGTTGGGGTCGGCTTGGCATCCTCCAGCCCTAAAGCATCCGCGAGCAGATCCAACAGGGAATCCACATCTACCAACCCCGAGAACTCGGTTGAAGAGAGCTCAACATTCAAGGATTCCTTGATGTTGTTAATAATTTCAGGGGTGATGAGTGAATCGACGCCAAGGTCCTCAAGAATTGAGTCCCGTCTAATTTCGGATACAGGAACCTCCAGGGAATGACTAAGAATTGCAAAGACCGCTTCTTGCCACTCATTATTGACCTCAGGGGTAGTCTCCCGCCTTGGGTCGGATGTCTGCATGGCGACATCGTGATCATCAGGATCAGCGCGCCCCAGCCGCGTTCTGACAAGATCGCAGAGATCTCCGACTGTATTCAGCGATGTGAACTCGTTTGCAGATATGTCAATGTCAAATAGGTCCCGGATACTGGACAAAATTTCCGCGCTAACAAGTGAGTCGGTTCCTAGCGCTCTCAGCGTGGCAGGTCTGCTCACATCCTGACAGGGTACATCTAGACACATACTGAGGACTGTTTGGATCCCATCCAAAATAAAACTACGGACTTGAGGTATAGTTGGCGGAAGAGGAGGGGAATTCTTGTCCGTAGGTTCGGAGGTCATCTTCTCAGCCGCAGGCTTTCTCTGCAGCTCCTCCCTGGAATCGTGCACCGATGGCATTGAGGCTGCCAATGCCTTAGCCAGCGAAGGGCGGGGAACCCTCGAGAACCTGAGGCCCTGCGCGGTCCAAACCATCGTAGCGCTATCGGCATCGAAGGCAAGGAGATCTAGCCTGGTCTCTTTCTGATCCTCTCGCAAGATCTTCGCATACACCCTGTAGGACTCGCTGCACGGCAGCTTTGTCAAAGGACCAACTGATCCCATTCCCGTGCAGATAAATGACATGTCACTGTCTTCATCATCTGGAGTGTCTGCAACACGCAGAGAGTGCACAAAGGCTCCGGGAACCTGCATGAAGTTATCCAGAATCAGTGGGTCAGCAATACTGTTGTTAAAAGATCGTTCTCGCTCATTAGCCTGCTCCAGGCTTGTGGGAGGCATAGAAATAACCCCGGCTGCTTCTTCGCCCTTGCCCACAATCAATCGTAGGCCTCGGTATATAGCGGAGTATTTCACCATTCTGGAAAAGACCTTATATACCATGGGACCACGCAACTCGTCCATCTCCGGTTCTTCTTCGAGAAGACGTGTCAGACGGGCCCACGCGCCCGAGAACCGTGACGGCACGCCTATATTCTGCGCCTGTAGGGATACAATGCCGGTTGCATGGTATATCGACTTTGACGGTAAATTTGTCTTGCCAAAATTTTTGGTGGAGGAGAGCTGGAACTTGAAATATCCGTTTTTCTTCTTATTCAACGTCAACAAGACAGGACCCTGCGGATCCAGGCCCAGCGGCGCCATTATCTTTAAGTCCTGGACCCAAACATCACCAGTCTGGTTGGCGAGCGGCGCTGCGTGCCCGTTCCACTCGACTTGGACTACAGCATGAGTTACCAACTCCAAATACATAGCGGCGGGACTGATAGGAGATCCGACAACAACATGGCCCTTCACCAGCTTCTGATACCGGGGGCTGCGTGGATCAATACGGAAGATTATTTCATCGTTCGAACCGGGCGGCGACCCCTCCAGTGTGATGTAAGGATATTCGTCCGTTTCCTTCCCGCAGTGAGGACATGTCCCAGAGTGCTGCTGAGCATGCTGTAAGTTTCTGTTTTCAGACTGGATGGGAACATGCTCCAGCCAATGCGGATGTTTCTCGAATTGATATTGCGGCAGGGTCATAGGGCATTAGCTCGCTCGTTGCTTTGAGTGAAAGGGCCAGAACTGCACAGAAGGATGGCCGTTATGCCACAGCGAAAGTACTGCCTCTGCTAGCCCACGAACTGGGTCTTTTCCATCGATTGGTACGAATGTATGCGGCGATTGATGCTTCGAGGAAGTAAGGGAAGACGAAAGCGCGTTCCGGGCCATAGAAACGACGGGGCCCCCAATGCCAGCTTCGAGGAAGATACATGGACCCCCTTCTAGTCGGCTGACAATGCGGTAAATTGCTTCGGCAAAGAATACTGGTCCCCGAGTATTGCGAGCAATGAAATTTGTCCCTGGGCCTGTCCACGGATCCTTGTGGCATGTTTCAAAGGGAAGGGCTGGTGTCTGTAAGGGGTAGATTTAGCCTTGAATGTAGGCTCGTCAAAGTGTTGGTGATCTGGACAAACCTGAAATGGTATTGTATCTGACAGTCTGGCACATTCATCGATGATCGAGTCTGCCATAACGGAATGATAGGCATGCATGCCACGCAACATCTTGAATCTGAGCTTGACGCCGCGACGCTTCTCCTGAGTCAAGTCATTCTCCAAGGCCTCCATGGCCGACGTCCGCCCAGCCACAACGTAGTTATTGGGACCATTGTAGCAGGCAATATCGAAGGTAAAATCTGAATGTTTACGACGGAAAGGCTCTAGGTGTTGGCTGGCTGTTGTCTGTGTCCCCACAAGATCCGTCTCGATGGCAATCATCGCTCCGGGATCAGGACCCCAATGTTTCTTGATGATGGATGCGCGTCCTGCCTTTTCATTTAGTGCTAGCGCAGCTTGGATACTTGAAAGTTTACGAACTGCACCCGGTTAGTAACTACATCGAAAGAGGACGAAATAACCGAATCAACCTACCCAATAACGAGCTTTAATCCTGCCTCGAGCGTCATTGCACCCGAGACAGTCATCGCAGCCCATTCCCCGAATGAATGCCCACAAACTGCATCTGGCTTCAGCCCACATTCGAGCCATGTCATACCAGATGAGTATTGAATGGCAAACATGGCAGTATGGCGGAGAACAATGTCGGTGCTTCCGTCGATGCCGCCTAGTATAGATGGAAACAAATTAGGGCCGTGCAGGGACTGTACCACTTCATCACAGCGGTGTAGAAAGTCCCTGAATATTATTGACGTGTCATAGAGTGGCTGAGCAGCAGGAACGGTACTGCCATTCTGTCCACTGAAAAGAAGAACAATGGGCTGGCGTGAGGTTTCGCGCTCCACGGTGTATCTGTCAGGACTGGACAGCCGGGAGTCCAGTTCCTCCACTGCATCAAAAGTGAGCACTTAATGAATATGCGCCTTACTTGAGTCCGACTTCCATTCGCAGGAAGGTATGCTTACCAGATGTGACAGTAGTGACGAAAGCCTGGCCAAGCTGCCGATTCTGCTTGCTGCCGAGTGCGAAACCGAGATGAGCGCCCAGCTCCGGACGAAAGTTAGGTTGCCTAATTAGCTCTCTTAGCTTCTGACAGTAGGCTCTTATGCTGACTTTCGACGCTGCAGAGATTGAGACAGGCCACGCTGATAGTATTTGTGAAGAGACGGACGTTAAGGGAGGCAAAGACTGTGCAAGTTGTTCTGGCGGCGGAGGCGAGGCCACCAGGGCCGCGGCATTGCTCCCAGACGCACCGTAGCTATTTACCAGAGCCACTAGGGGGCCAATAGAGCTGTGCCACCCAAGGATAGATGTAGGAATGGCCATACAATCCGGCTCAAGGGCAGTAATGTTTGGGTTGAGTCGCTCAAAGTTCGCCTGTGGTGGAATCTGGCGATGCTTCATCATCAGCAACACTTTAATCAGAGAGATTACCCCTGAGGCACCCTCTGAGTGTCCAATGTTAGCTTTTATTCCACCGATATGTAATAGAGAGTCTCTATTAGGCCCCCCTAGCACCTGCCTGATTCCTTCAACTTCAATGGGATCACCGGCGCGCGTCCCTGTGCCATGGGCTTCGACGTAGGATACTTGGCGGGATGAGATGCCCCCTTGGGCCAAAATTTTACGATAGAGTGCTTTCTGACTGTCCAATACTGGATTGGTAATGCTGGTGTTGTTGATATTCTGATTCTCTCCTGTCCCTAGAAGAATTCCCCGAATCTCGTCTCCATCCTGCAGTGCCTGGGATAGAGGCTTAAGGACCAGGACCCCAACGGCCTCACCTCGGCAGTACCCATCTGCCCGAGCGTCAAAGGTTTTACACGCACCGGTCTCGCTGAGAAAGCCTCCGCTCCGCAATGCGTCAAAAAAGACCGAATTGGTGATCAAATTGACACCCCCCGCCACTGCCCTGGTACAGTCCCCTGCTTGAAGAGCACGACAGGCCTGGTGGATGGCCACCATGGCTGAAGAACAGGCTGTATCAATGACATGGGAAGGACCAGTCCACCCGAAGTGATGACTCAAGCGACCCGCGACAAAGGATCGCATCATCCCAACTCCTGTATAGGGGCTGGGGGGGTGACTTCCTAGATTCAGAGGGTAATCTGGGGCATTCATACCAATAAAGCAGCCTGTAGTATTTCCGAAACCCGGTTCATTATGTTTTTCGGGTATTTGTTCCTGTGCCAGCCATCCAGCCGACTCTAAAGCATGATAAGTCGTCTCAAGTAGAAGCCGCTGGTGAGGGTCAAGTGCGGCTGATTCGCGTTTGGACTTGCCAAAAAAGCCATGATCAAAGGATTCGGGGTCAGGGAGGAAGTTTCCCCACAATTTGGGGTCTTTCCTTGCGGCGGCTTCAGGGAAGCGTCTTGCATCAATCTCCCGCACTGTCATCTGTCCAGTCCGAATCACATCCCATAAGTCATCTGCCGTATCGCCTGCAGCCGTGCGGCATGCCAGTCCAACGACTGCCACCGCGTGGGCTGGATAGTCCCACTGGGCTTGCCGCACAGGTTTGCGAGGTGTGATGTCTTGGAGTATGGGATGTCGCACTGGCTCGTCTGCTTCAAGTGTCACAGCACGGACCACGGCGACGTGATCGGTCGCGAGCTGAGCTACCCGGTCTAATGTAGCAAGTGCCTCATCTGGGTCCATGTACTCAATACCTCGGGCTTGCATGCCGCGATCAATCATTCGCGTCGTCGATTTGTTCTGCGCCACCAGTCCCACTCCGCGCCAGGAGGTCCATTGGATGGAGGTACAGGCATCTCCCTGCTGCCGTCGGTAGACTGCGAATCCGTCTAGAAAGGCATTTGCTGGCGCGTATGTAAGCTGACCTGGGAACCCGACAAGTTGTCCTACGGAGGAGGTCAGCAGGAAAAAGTCCAGATCCCCTGGTGAGAAGAGAGCGTCCAAGGCCAGAGCACCACGCGCTTTGGGCGCCATGGTGTAATCGAGGTCGGAAGGTTCGCATCGGTCCAACGTGTTATATTGGGCAACTCCGGCGGCATGGACGACGCCTTTAATCGGCGGAAGGTGAAGACAAGCAATTCCCTGTCGAAGGGACTTTTCTGCCTCAGGTAGAGCGAGGTCAATACTCAAGACGTGTACCGTGACACCTCGACTCTGCAGGTCCTTCATGTGGGATGTGAGCGTGTTGTTACTATCATCGCTTGCACCTTTCTCCAGTCCATGGCGCGCCACCAGAATGATGTTCCCGGCGCCACGCTTGCCCATCCAGCCTGCAATCTTTAGTCCCATGCCTCGTGTACCGCCACTGATAAGATAGGTGCTCTCTGGTCTTAGCCGAAGACGCATTACAGCGTCATCTGGCTGCTTCGGGCAAGGCTGCAGGCAAGCTATGTGGGGAACGCCATGACAGATTCGAACCACATCAAAACCCTGCGCATACTTGATTGCATCGAGTGGAAATGACTCCGGTTCTGCTTCGAACAGTCCACCGAAAGTGTTTGGCATTTCCATGTTCAAAGCCCGCGCCAAGCCAAACAGGGGAGCATGACCAAGTTGGCCAACACCACTCGCGGTAGGAACGACGGTAAACACCTTATAGCCGTCATGTTTAGAAAGGATTCGTGCTGCTGCTATCAGACTGTTGCAGGATTCTGTAGCAATCTCATAGACGCTGTTCTTTTCCCTTCCCAGCTTAGGGAGATGAACAATAATAGTCCCAGAACTCAGATGCAATGGTATCTCGGTAGCGTCTTTGACTACAAGTACCGTGTAGCCCGCGTCGATCAGCTGTCCTTTGTACACAAGAAAGTCTTCCTGCTTCGAATTGGGGTTAAGCACAAGAATGATCTTCTGAAACGAAATGGGTGCATCAGATAGCGTGGCAGGCTTCCAATTCACCTTGTGAAAGGGGTCTTGGGTATCCATCAGAGGCGATTAGTAGGTGATTTGGATGTTTGCGGTATCTCAATGGCGCTATGGGGGAGCGTGGCTAGTGGGAGGACACTCCACCTGATTAAGGCATTGACTGTATCTGCTGCCTTTACCACTGCATGACTGTGTCGGGCCTCCTACCACTTACCTGTAAGTCATAGTCCTGATGAGAGCCCTATCCCTGCCGGTAGCGGTACACAGCAATGGTGTAAACGCAGCATCGCCCTTGGGAGCTGATCGTCCCGAGTCACCAGCAAGCATGTTTCACACGAATCTCGGCATGACATGGAAAGACCAAGTGACCCTGCAGTCTTACGATGCCTCTATAGAGAGATAATGGTAGACGCATGACTGAACTGAAGGCAGACGTGTTGATGATACCACGGAACATCTGATTGGAGCATACTCCGCGGCGAAGTCATTTCTTATGGTCCGAGAAACGGTTACGCAGCATTTCTCCTGGGAGTTAGTGCGAGGCTCTAGCTACATTTAGATGTACCGGTCTTCAACGTTCCCCTTGCATTGGAGCCTTGATGGAGTGAGGGGTAATGACACCAACGAGTAAGGAGAAGGAGCAGGGAGATTAGGCATCCACCCATTTACCAGCAACTGTTCTCGTTCATGTAAATGCAAGGACCGGTTGATAGGGCTGTTATGACCACGCATTATATGCAATACAATTTCTGGTACGTGGCTTGTGTGTAACTCTTTCCTGCGTTCAACTCGTGTCACATCTTATCTCCATTAGTTTCTACCAGGGGCGGCTTTCGTGGATCACAAGTGACCGGTGTTTGAGTAGTATCTCAGCAGACAAACTTGTAGCATTCTCATTCTCTTGAGGTTACCAAATTATTCTCTAATCTGCAAATATGCATGAAAATAACAGCAAAATTCAGTGGTCGTAGCCCAGTTATCTAAGCTTCCTGTCATCAATGTCTTTCGTCGTCCTTCGTATCAGCACCTTTCGTGATTTTCCCTTACTCCCGTCTTTTGATCCGGCAAGTAAAGCCTCGGTGCTTGGAAAAAAAACAATTCTCCCATTTGAATGGCAAAGGCTCCACCAGTTGTAACTATAGTTTTTAGCTTGCACTCAAAAACGTGGATGATGCGGCTTCCTACCTCGTAATTCACGAACAGAAATGGTAGAAGCTTTTTCAATTCCACAATCCCAATCTGCTTACCCAGACACACGCGTCTTCCGGCGCCGAACTATAGTCCAGTTACTTTTTTATCATCGCTAACACCGTAAAGGCACCGTACATACCGTGAGTAGGCTCTTCTCCAGTGTCTTTCTGTGGCTCTCGTCTCCTTCAAGCCATCTCTCTGGCCTCCAAACCTCCACATCTGGCCCAAAGGTGCCTTTGTGACGATTGACGACGTAAGCATTACCTCCTACGTTAGTTCCTTCGGGCAAATAATGACCGAGTACCGTCACACCACCTCGAGGAGTAACCCGTTCAAAGGGAAGAGCGAATGGGGGATGCACACGTGCAGCTTCCTGGATACAAGCGTCCAGATATGGCAAATCACGAACTTGTTCCCAGAGCGGGTATGGCCTGGTCAGGTTCGCTCCGTCGAGTTCGCGTTGCAGCTTTTCGAGGGAATCGGGGTGAGAAAGAAGGTTAACTGTTTTGTGTCAGTGGGACAGTCTCTATCCTCTCTTACGAGCAAAATAATTGCAATCTTCACCTCCTCTCAGGGGTCATGGGGACCGAACTCACTACCCAAGTGTTAATCTCTGGTTTAGCGTCACATAATACTATGCTAAAGAAGACAATTTCACTCACCACACGGCAGTCTTCATTACCGTCCCAACAGAGTCGGAGCCAGCGATGATATTAGAAAAGGTCCATGCTGTAGAAGCCCTATGAGCATTATCCGCATCAGGAAATGCTCTTACCATGCCCAAGAATTATTTGGGGGGGAGGGGTCATACCATGGTGGAAGTTTTGAACTCTGGCTGTGGATCTCGAGGAAACGGTCCAAGAAATCCTTTCTGCGAGGTGGGAAGTTGGGATCCTCCTTGCCGTTGTCTTCCTTAGCGATCCGCTCCTTAATAGCCCTGCTTGCAAAGTCTAGAATGGACATTGACGGTGTCTTTTTCTGTAGCTTTCGAAGGGTGTGCACCAAGCGATTTTTGTACAGGATTGGGTCAAGCCAGGTTATTTGTGTCATCTGCAATATGAACCATCATCATCATCAATCTTTGTTCGTTATGATGTCCAGACTTTAGGGCAAGACGCACCGGTGCTGCTAGCTGGAAGAACCGATAGACCTCGCTCAGCATACCATTCACATCACGACCTTGCTCAAGAGCGCCATACTGCTTTGAAAATGACAGGGTCCCCATGACATCAAATGAGAAAAAATGTAGCCAATCGGCGCAGTCGAATGTCTCACCTGTGGCCACGAAGCGCTCATCCAACTGCTTAGACAGAACTGCAAGCACTTCATCCACTAGACCTTCAAATTGAACTACACTGGAGAGTGAGAAGAGTGGCGCGATTGGGCTCTTGATTAGCTTATGCATTGACTCATCCTGGGTGTTGAATACTAGGTATATGGGGCCTCGTTCGCTTGTATAAGGACGCAAAGCAGAGTAAAGATCACCCTGGGACAATCCTTAGTTTAACCTCGATTGCCGATTAGGGGGTAAAGAAAAGGAGAAGTTGATCGTGGACAAACCAACCTTGGGAAAACCGGGCCGAACAGGATAGACGGTAGGAATAGCTTCGGGGTTGCTAAAGGAAACCATGCGGGGTCCAATGCGGACGACATCCCCATACTTTGCGTGCGCGGCTTGATGGTAAAGATGTGCGCGACCGGTTATTTGCCACCATACACGAGGCAGGTTGGATATGCTGGCGAGAAATGGGCCAGGGATGTGCCTCAGCGACCACCATGTTCGGGCAAGTTGAAGAAGGCCCAGGATGAGCGTGAGGCCTCCTGCCCACAGTAGCCACCATCCGGTAGTTGCTGCGGTGAGCTGCTGCCATCTTGCAAGGATAGCATTCAGTGCAGGGATCTCATTAAAGGTCTCCATTGTGTTTGAACTCCAGTGTTGGGAATTCCCGGTATACTGTGTGTAGAATAACCAAACGATAACGGTCGTGTGCGAGCAGATTTGGCCTTCGTTGTTTTTTTATCCTGCCTGTATGTTTAGTCATGACATCAGATAGGATACAATAAGTTTTCAGGCACCCACTTTGACCAATTTCAGACATATTCTTCCTATTTTCAACCGTCATCAGGAAGTTACTCGGCTTTGGGACGTTCCCCCTCTCCTCTCAGGGAATGACCAGTCTTTGCGCAGTATCTGGTAATTCCCCGGGTAGACCACGATTTACAGTATCACAGGCGAAGATCATGACTTAAAAAGACAGCTGCAACTCTGTTGATCAACCCCGATGGTGCATGCAGGGTTGAGACATCCTAAAGTGGTCAGTTATGATATGTGTTTTAACTAGACCCCTGACATGCCCAGCTCTGGCGGTGAAACAACCCCCTTCACCGAGTACACAAACTATTTGTGTCTTGGCAGGTGATCTCTGACACGGGCACTGCATGTCACACCAGGCTACATGCACAACATTTCCTGCATGCAGTGGGGCAGACATACGCTCCCATCTCCTCGCCTCTTCAAGCTGGCAGCCCAGCGTCGAGGGGCAACCGTTTGTCTAATAGTTGAGATGTAGTAGGTTAATTTGCAGCATGATCTATGAATCAACAGTCCGTATCCAACATCTTCATCATGGCCAAATCCACTAGCCCACCAAATGATGTTCTTGGGACATTGAACGCCATCAGTGCCAATTCTTTCGATGCGGAGAGCGATCGCATTAAGGCTCTCTTGGCCGCATATGCGCTAGTCAGCCGACTTGAGACCCCTTGGGAGAGAATAGCGAGGATGTGTATGGGCGAGGCAAGTCCCGGCCATAGTAGTGATATCGTCAACAACGAGAAAACTAATTAGTCCGAGCAACCAAAGCCAGCATTATCAGCGAGCTTAAAGGTAGTCAAAGACCTCCAGTTGTTCGAGAAATGGCATGCCAATGGCGATGAAGCGCGAAGTGGGGATGAGTTGACTGCTCTGGTCAACTGCGATCGGGACCTTCTTGGTCAGTTTAAAGTCCTCAATAAAGAAATCGGGCTTGTGCAAATGTTCTAACGGGTACAATCTGATCAGGCCGAATTTTACGTCACCTGGCTACAAACCACATTCTGATTGAGCCTACAGCCGGGGTATTCAAGCCGACAACCTTTTCTCTTTCTCTTTTGCAACCTGTTTTCGGGGAATGGATCTCTTATCTGTGAGTATATGGCTGAGTGAAACCAAAATCCCCCGCTCTGATCGTTCCACTGCGCTGGACTCATGCTGACGACACAAGATTTGATGTCGGCATCCTCATCCTCCACAAGACCCCCGAGTTCCTGTAGAAGACTGGTTATAAGAATCCCACCGATCCCAAAGATGTGGCTTTCCAATACGCCAAGGACTATCGGGGCAACATGTTTGACTACTTCACCAGCCATCCGCGGGAAGGAGCATCATTCAACCATGTCATGGGCGGGGTGATGGCTCATCAAGCCGGCTGGCTGGAAATCATCCCAGCCGAACATTTCATGAACGGATCAGATCCCAATGGGCCATTGGTGGTCGACGTGGGAGGAAACATCGGCCACGATATCGAAAAGTTCCGCCAGGTCTATCCAGAGACCGCACAGCGACTCTACCTTCAGGACTTACCGGCAGTGGTTAAACTCGCCAAATGTCCCGACCCGGTGAACAAAATGGCTCACGACTTCTTCCTGCCTCAACCAGTTCTAGGTAGGTAACCCTTCTAGCTGTGAAAGCTTAAAGACAATACTGAGGGTGGGCTCCTACAGGATCTCGTATATATTATGTGCACGCTGTTCTGCATGATTGGTCGGATGAGCCGGCGCGGCAGATTCTAAAGATGATCCGAGATGCTATGAAGCCCGGGTATAGTAGGCTGCTCGTTCATGACCATGTGATGCCAGTGAAAGACGCCCATCCACATGCAACTGCGTACGATCTTACCATGATGGCCCTGTTAGCCGGGGTCGAGCGCACCGAGACGCAGTGGCGGGACTTGCTATCCTCCGTGGGACATCGGGTGGTAAAAGTATGGCAGTCCCCTTTGGCTGCACAAGCAATCATTGAGGCTGTCATAGCAGATTGAGTTTGATAAATTTTCTATTCGTGCTTTTTGTGCCGTTGGGTTGGAAAACATCTCCTCCTTTCTGTCTAATTTCAAACCAATAAAATGGACATTCACAAGTGGAATTTTACATTTATTATTTATGGTTGGGAGTGGCAGCAAATAACCCAAGCGCTACTTAGAGTTGCGATGTTCTCCGCTGTATGTCTGAAACAGAATGGCCATGATTGAGAAGAGGAAGAAGAAGAAAGAAAATGAAAAAGAAGAAGGAATAAATCGAAAAGGAAGAGTCACCGAGATAGAGATAGATCGAAAATTAAACCACAACGTAGCATGAAATTGAAATAAAAGAATGCAGAAATCGAAATGAGGCATTGGATGATGCAATGATTATTGTTGCACTGCGTAGCAGGCAACAATGCACTGTGGAGGATGGCGGGTAATGACACTGATCATGGATAACAATTAATAGACCACTTAGGGCAGAGGAGTGAGGGCAATCGCTTCTCGCTCGTCCTGCCATGTCTTGCATGGTACCTCATCCCTTGCCTTGCTAACTGATGCTACTTTATCCCCCCACCCCCCCTTTTCAGCTCCTATGTCTCTCCTCCTCTCCATATGAGCCAGCCATCATGGAAAAAAAATCCGAATTCCGCCCTAATTCTCCCCCGGACTATCCCCTTCCAGCCTCCCCTTTCACTGTCGATGTCTGCATACTTAACACGTAAGCTAAGCCATCCCTGACCTCTGCTTTCAGATATACATCTAAATATGAGCTCAGCTACGACAGAACTAGTAACACGCGCCTTTACCTCCTACCAGGGGCATTATGGAAGCCCACCCTGCATGGATTCAAAAGCCCTCAGACCCCTATCTACTGTTTCCTAATCTCGCATGAAGACCGCCACATCATCTTCTACCTTGGCGTCCGCACTGACTGGGAGAAATATACACCCAAGACCGTTCGAGCAATCAAAGCAACGGTCGTGAGTGACTGCACGCGCGACGTCGTCGACATCTTGCATGACCCCGCGGACAATCACAATGTACTAGGCATTCCCTCCTCCGACATTGAAGCCGTCGTCTGGTCACACCCTCACTTCGACCACACGGGTGACCCGTCGCGATTCCCGTCTACAACCGAGCTCATCGTCTGACCGGGTGTTGAATGCAGTTCATGGCCTGGACACACATCCAACCCGGATGGCCTTGTGCTGGACAGCGACGCTGCCGATCGCTCTGTCCGCGGGATCCACTTTGACCACGACAACCCCTTGCGCGTCGGCCCCTTCAACGCCGCCGACTACTTCGATGACGGCTCCTTCTACCTTCTCGATGCTCCCGGTCACGCTACGGGCCACTTGTGTGGCCTCGCTCGCACAACCGCTAACCCACCCACCTTTGTCTTCATGGACGCGCGCTGATGCCTGCCATCATGCGGGTGTGCTAAGGCCATCGCCACATTTGCCGCTGCCGCGGCCCCAAGCAGAGGCAGAGGGGAACTGCCATGATTCCCAACTTCAAGTAGACAACTATGGAAGCTGTCTAGGGGATCTGTTGGAGTAAATTGCGTCGTGGCAGAATCCCCGTAAACCCTTCTTTCAGGTTGCTCGAGGACCGATGCGCGGCAACCATCTAGCTGCAGTGGAAACAGTCGCGAAGATTCAGAAGTTTGATGCGTTGGATAACGTTCTGGTATGGCTGGCGCACCTCGACTCTTTGCACGGTCAGTTGCCATTGCTCCTGAGCGCGTCAATTATTGGAAGGCTAGGGGAGTGGGCGAGGATACGAGGTGGTTGTTTTGTCGTGAGATGCAGCATGTAGATGATGGTTGATACAAGTAGGTGTTCTTTCAATTTCTCTACATGCACTCTTTCTGACGGGTTAATTTGTATGTGGGTAATTAAGTTACCATCTTCAGTGGAGGTGTTATATGCATTAGTTGAAGTATCTATTGAGTTTATCTCCCACATTCATGGGTCATGCAATGCATACTTTTAGCATATAGGTTTCTCAGCGTAACCTTGAGTTTATTTTACAGTTAACTATCTTCTCTCAGTAGTTAGAAGACTTCATTTTCCAATTTCGGGCATTCATTTGCCATTCTCATGATTTTGATCTCAGCTAGACCCGAAAGGTATATGACAACTCTAATTTACTCGCCTTTCAAATTTGTTGACATATATCTCGTCGTCGTAATATCAATGGCCACGAAAGTCCTATTTGAAAGACCCAATGAAACCCATCTTAACCATCTTGTTATATGTTACTCGGAGAACTCGGCCTGCTTCGCTGCCAGATATCCGCAATAGCCCTGCAACAGCACGATTTTCATTATCCTGCGCGAAATTGATGGCCTTGCGACAATGTCTCTAGCCTTCGCCGTCAAGTCAAGCTCCCAAATCACATAAATCATCTGGAACATATTGATCCAACGCTGTTCTCATATATTCCACTATTCGTGTTAACCCCTATACCTAGCTGCGATTTCCTGATAAACTATTGGCGGTTGCATATATTCGCCGATACTATCTGCAGGTACTTCTGCGTCAAACTAGGCTATGCTCTATGGGTACATCGACTTCAATGGAATCAATTTCCGGAATCTGGCCAGCAATCCACAACTTCTCCGCCCTCACGCACAGCAACTACAACCGACCCTTCTCCGCGCAACGGGTTTCCATCCCACAACACCAAATCACCTGTGTACTCTTGGGTACCATTGGCATCGGAGTCAAGTCTCAGAATCCGCTCAATGTTGGACGATACAAGCGCGACAGCCTCCTTATCACTCAGTCCAGCTTGCTTAGCCGCCCAGCGCGCCTCCCGCGCTAGCCCATGGAGTCTGGAATCACCCCGCAGTGCTAAACCAAGCTGCACACCTGCTTCAATCAATACCTCGGCTGAGCTATCGCTGAGCGGAGGCCCTGGAAGCGCATTCTTCTTTTCCCACTTATCAGGAGCCCCGAGGTTGCCGGTTAGGATGACTGGGATGCCTGCTTCAGCTAGGGGTTTGGCGACCTAACGTAGGGTGTAAGTTATATTGACATTGACTGGGATAGAAATAAAGGCTGGCTTACTAGAGCAGCACCATGGCCACCGTATATAATTAGATTGACGGAAGGAAACTCTCGTTTGACCAGAATCAATTGAGAGATGTCGTCCTCGTTGTATGTCTCAACCACCAGTGGAAGAGAGCCATTTGCAGCCTGTGCATATACGCTGTGCTGCTCTGCGTCGCTCTTACCGCCCTCCTTCAGTATCTGGCGCAGGATTTGGATTTCGGAAGCAACAGTTGAGGTATCTCCGTCTGGTCATATTTGTTAGGCCCTTGTCCTTATACATCGCTGAACACCAATGTACTCACCCTTGGCCCCCTGTCCAACCGAGAAATGAAGCGCCACATCGTCCCTCCAAACTCCTCCATCTAATATCGTCGCGTTAGGATCAGTTCGCAACCCTACACTGACACCCTTGATAAGTCCACTACCATGCGGCGGAGTAATCGCTTTAGTAACTCCTCCAATCCTCGCTCTGTCAAATGCAACCCCATGTAAATGAGCTCCATATTTGGCAAAGTGGACGCTCTTTCCTTCGTTCAAAAGATCGCCAGTTGCACCGCTTGATCCGTCGCCTGTCGACTCTTCGGATGAAATTGCTTGAATCCCAAGGTCATTGCCAAAGGCAATCAGCCCGGGAGTAATGTAGCCATTTTTTAGGGCTACTTCGGTGACCCCATCGTCCTCGCCTCTTATGCATGTCTGTTTCGCACCGAGGCACGAAACTTTGTTGTCCTCTAGCACGAGGACTAGATCCTCGGCCACTTGATCAAGATGTGGGCTGCCGATAAGTGCTTTCTGAATACCGGTAAACACAAGACGTGGCTTCGAGCAGACGTTGATTCGCTGGTCGACATCTACCACCGGTCGCGTCTCGGGTACACGTTGCAGATCATCGAAGCCGGCAGCCAAAGATTCCTCTGCAGTGTCTCCCTTCTGTAACAGCGCACGTCCGTCAATGAAAACCTCGACAGCCGTGGCCCCGACTTGGAGCGGATGGCTATCCCATATGACGATGTCGGCGTCGTAACCTGGACGGACGTATCCGATGCGGTGGTCTTGCTGCATTGATTGGGCTGGTACTAACGTGACTGACTGTAAAGCCTTATCGGCCGGTAAGCCGAATGAGTGAGCGATAGAGGCTTGGTCGCTATCACATCATTAGTAGCCTGTCGGGAGAGATGTTGGGGCGCAACTGACAGAAGGTATTTGGCATAGTTCTCTTCCCCGGTATGATCCTATATTGATATCAGTATCATTTTGTATCTATACAGTTCAGTAGATTGCTCCCATACCGATTTATAAGCAACCCGCACTCCGTGGTCGTTAAGTATCTTCCCTGCGCGCAGATTTGCTTCATAGGCCTCGGCCTTGTACAGCGCATTGTCCGCGAATGTAGCAACCGTGATATTCCTGCATCCAATTAGTACCGCCACACATATACAGATAACATACTCACGGCTCCAAACGCTTCAGCAGCTCAGGCACCTGCCATGCTTCCAATGCATGATGGAAAGCCCGAGGATGGATACCAAACTCATGGAGTACAGCCAGCATGCGCTCCAAATCCTCGGGTGTATAACAATGAACATTCACATTGAGCTCTCCCCTGATCAAGGCCACGAAAGTATCCAACTCGAATGACTCCGGTCGCCGCCCTTGTTGTTCAAGGAAGCGCGTTATATGCCGAGCTCGGTCAAACCTGGTGTGTTCGATCTCCAACGCTCCGCGACACCAAGCAGCCTGGCGCTGCTCTAATTCCTGCGCCTCTGCAAGCTTCTCCCTCAAGAGCCAAGCAAGTCCCATCCGGGTGTGCTGGTAATTGCGTTTTGGGTTTTCACCACACGCCATCTTAAGATACCGCTGGCGGTCTTGCTCTGGGATACCGTGCTCCAGGAGCAATTCCTCGATTACGGGTTCGCCGTATTCACCTGAAAAGGGCAGGTTCTTGACAGGGTAGGCCTCGCCGCCGACGATGTTTGCTGAGCCGGGTAGAACTAGCGAGGAGGTGACTCCGCCCGATGCGATGATCTTGATGGTTGGATCGGACGGCGTGAAGCCGTCGATTGCGCGCACGAAATGAGTAATTGGTCCGAGCGACTTCTCGTTCACGTCGCTCGTTGCTACCACTTGAGGAAATGGCATTACCAGGTGGTGAGAGTGCATATCCACTAGGCCCGGAGTGACATGTTTGCCATGGACATCGATAATGTTTGCGTTCGCGGGCGGAGCATCACCTGAGCCAGTGGAAACAATTGAGGTGATAACACCAGCCTCGAAGACGATGTCTACGGCGTCTGGGAGCGTCGATTCGCCATCAAAGAGGGTTGCGTTTTGTAGAACAACCGGAGTGGCCTGTCCGGAGATCGGGTTCCATCGGGGATTATTCTGTCTTGAGCTGTCCCCAGCATCTGGCACATGCAGTTGACGTTCAGCGTCGTAGCATTGTTGCAGTCCAGTGTAGAATTCATGATGTGTGGTTGCACTGGTTGGCAATAGCAGTTCTCTTGGATTGGCTCCGACCAGCAGAATTGCCGCGGCACAGATGCCCGCACAGATTGGTAGTTGCCATTGTCTTATCGTGCGGCCTCGTGGTCGTCCAGAGGACGAGGTCCGATACATCGGGATAAACGTTTCCTCCTTGACAGCCATTGTCAAGCCCACTGCCGCACAATGAATCGGAATTGTCGAAGGGAAGAAGTGACAGCTATCGCGGGGTGAGAGGTAGTCGGTCGACCCTTGCGTGACTGCAACCCGGTACGACGTCAGCGTATCTGTCCAGTGGGTCCGGCCGCATTTCTTATCTCTATCTGTCCTGTCCACTTAGGGCATAGTGCAATTGGTGGTTGACACTGGATCCAAAAGTTTCTCATTCTTCTGCCATGTGTTTACGAAGCCTAATATTTGTCTCTATTTCAGACAATAACCGGAAAGTAGCGCGTGGCCTACCGAATGCTGCCTTCGTCCCTGTAAGCCGCGACGGATGAAGCTCTTGGCATGTCTTCCCGCTTCACCGTCTCATCGACCACCAACGAACAATCCCATTACATCTAGTGCTGACAGCGGATCAATGAAGCCTAAGACCCATCTGGCAATATTTTAACGAGCCAACCTATCATTCGATCTTGAGCCTTGCTTCATACACGAAATAATTGGGGGCCATTTCTTGAATCGCTACCATTTATTAAGGGCTCCTCCCTTCTCACGAAGTAGAATTAAGCATCATCTATTTTACCTCTGCACGATCGCAATATGTCCAACCCAACCCTGGTCTTCTGTGCCGGTGCCTGGTACTCACCAGTAGCATACGGCCCACTCATCGAGAGACTTCCCGAATATACCTGTCGCACCGTGGCCTTCCCCTCTATCGAGCAAGCCAATGAAGTCAAAGACCTCCAACCCGATATTACTGCCGTCCGCAGTGTCGTCGAAAAAGAATGCGATGCCGGAAACGACGTTGCAATTGTCCTGCACAGCTGGTCTGGTCTCCCCGTCAGCAGTGCCCTCGATGGACTCAGCAAGACGGAGCGCCAAGAAGCGGGTAAACCAGGTGGCGTGGTGAAGCTCATCTACCTCTCTGCGTTTATTCCGGAGGTTGGTGAGAGTTTAATTGGGGCATTTGGCGGGGTGCCGCCGGATTGGTATGTTCGGGATGTGAGTATAGCTTTCTCTCTTATTTGTATCTCGATAAAGTGATTCTAATGTGGTGTAGGTGGAGAATGGCACCGTGCTGCCTGACGATCCCTTCAAGCTGTTTTTCCACGATGTTCCCGATGGCCAGAAATGGGCCGAGACATTGCGACCCCATGCATGGGCGACCAAAAATAGCCCTGCCACAAGTGCAGCGTACCTGCGAATTCCATCTGCCTATCTGCTGTGTGAAGATGATCGAGCAATCCCATTGTTTGCACAAGAAGGAATGGTTGAAAAGGCCCGAGCCAAGGGAGCCACGTTCGAGACAGACAAGGTTAAGACGGGACATACGCCGTGGCTGGTGGTGCCGGATCAGGTTGTGGAGTTTGTGAAGAGACATGCATGAGAGTAATATAATTAATTTAAAGAGCAGCCAATTCGATTGACCGAGTCCTTCCATCTGCATCCTGCTTCCCTTGAAATGAGGGGTTCGAGCGTTGAGAATCACATCGTGGCGGGTGGTCCCATTGCCGGAGCCCGTCCGCGCCTGTCTTCCTGCATGAAGCTAACGGCTTAGTTGCTTGGTTTAGTCTTCTCATTACTCATTCACACTTAATATCCTGCACAAATCTACTACTACTGGCTATCTCTACTCTCTGGCGGAATATATAATACCCCTTTCCCTCGATACTCTCAGCCCGGTAGGGCATTGCACCTTTGTGCAATTCCGACCTCCATAAACCTCCGAACCCTGCATAAGTACCCCATCTCATCCTCATCGTCATCACAATCACAATCACTGCCACCACAATGGCACCAGAAACACCCTCACCACCCCCTCATCGTTCCCTCCTCATCCCCGAAATCCTCGAACGCATCCTCATCCACCTAGACATCCACACCCTCCTCTTCTCCCAACGCGTCTGCACCGCCTGGGCCTCTCTAATTCAGCAATCTCCATCCCTCCAGCAAGCCCTTTTCTTCGCCCCAGCCCAATGGCCCAAAGAAGACATCATCTACAACCCCCTCCTGATCAAACATTTTCCCCCGTTCTTCCCAGGTACCATCAAAAACGACCTCGTTAAACCGCGAGACTGCTACCCGCCTCACTTCCTCCCAATGCAGTACGTCGGCAATGAGAACGCGTGGAGCCACCCCGTCAAGGACGACCTCACCCGAGCAGAAGTCTTCTACTCCGAGCTCCCTCTCCAAAAATATCCCTTGCGCCGTAAGGCGTACCTGTACCCCGAGGCATCCTGGCGTCGCATGCTCACCCAGCAACCACCCGCACCCCACATCCCAGTCCTCCGCGTCTGGTCCTGGGCCCGGGGCAAAACCTTTGATCGATACCGCATCCCAGGTACATTGAAAGACGTGATGGATCTGGAGAGATACGTCCAACAGAACCCAAAGGACTCCGAACCACCCGAGCCTTCGTCTTCTCCCACTAACAACCTCGAAGACGGCGGAGGCGTCACAATGGGCCTCCTCTTCGATTACGTGACCTGTGATCTGGATCTAAAGTGGTGGATGATCATGTGGGGAGATCTGCCACCCGTGTCGATGGCACTGGAACTGGGGCCGGAATATGTAGATGCTTATAAGCGCGCAGCGGAGGATGGGAGTATTGTGATTCTCACATTTCAGATCGTGCAGGGGGCCGAATGGTGGTATGATATTGCTGCGGCGAATGCGAAGAATTTGAGGTTTCGTATTGTCGATGAGTATAGGGCTAGGGGGTGGGTCGGGGAGAGACCGCCTACGTTTTCGAATCGGTTGAGGGCCGTGGAGAATGGGAGGTTTCCACATTTTACCACGCAGGCACCGTTTCTGGCGAGGTATTTGTTGCCGGGGTGGGGAGTTGCCGTGGGGTAGTTGTGGATTATGTGCGTGCGGCTTGTGCTGATTTGCGGTATTCTTTGTTTCGCTGTCTGATCGCGTGTGAGGAATCTAAAATCGCCTGCGAACAGGCTACCAGGTAGATTGAGATGGTGTATTTTGTTTAGTAAATGCAGAGGGAGTGATATATATGCTTATTGCTCATGACACATGCGAGCTTGTTGTTTTGGAGTATGTATCAAAAATGGCACCGAGCTAGTCTCACCATATTTAACCACTGCCTACTGCCCAGCCTTAATAATGTCCGCCGCTCTCTCCGCCACCGCATACACAGTCGACATAGGATTCGCAGTCGTCATAAGGGGGAAGATACTCGCATCACACACCCGCAAATTCGTAGTTCCATACACCCGAAGATTCTCATCCACCACTCCCCCTTTTTCCTGTGGAAGCATAGCCGCTGTACCACTCAAGTGATAGCTCGTAGTAGCAGTATCCCGCAGATACTTCTTTGCTGACTCCAGATCCGTCAGGAATGCATCCGGATGGTTCCGACGTCCGCCCTCCACCAGATAATCTGCGATAGGCTTGACGCTGTGAAGTCTCTCAAGACTTAGAAGGTTTCGCGCCATTAGATCCATATCTAAAGGATTTGAAAAGTAGCGAGGTTCGATTATTGGTGACACCGTTGGATCCGCTGACGCGATGTGGACCGCTCCGCGCGAGAAAGGTAAGGTCTGGATGATTCCCAGACTCAGAAAATTTCCTGGTAGATGTTTCTGCCCTACGAAACTCTTGCCAGATTCGTGGAGGTTCGCCTGTGCAAGGAACATGAACATCTGACAGGTGGGTTCATGTTCTTGCGCGTAAATGTCACGGATGACTTGGTCGCGCTCGTTCAAGTCTGGTGGGAAGCTGTCGAAATAGGCTACTCTGGCTTCTGGTTGCCCTGAGTATTCTGTCAGTGGCATGTATGCGGAGGATTGGACTCCCCCAATTGTCATGGGTCCTGCTTTTTGCTCAGAGTAGAGTTGGAAGGCAGTTTTGATTGCCTCGGGCTCTTGTCGTAGCAGCGGGTCCCCGGTTGAAATCCCTGGCTTCACTTCGAAACTGATCCCGGTCATGAGATGATCTTGGAGGTTTTCTCCCACGTTCCGGTTCTCCACGATGACAGGTATGGAACACTGGTCGAGAATCTGCCTGTTTCCGATGCCTGAAAGTTCCAGGAGTTTGGGGGTATTGAGGGCTCCGGCGGTCAGAATGACTTCTTTCCTAGCTTTGATAGTGACAATTTGTCCATCAATTCTGGCTTCTGCTCCAGTTGCCGTGGCCCCGGATTCCTTAGTAGAAAACAGGATCCGTTGAACAGTAGCCTCAGTGATAATCCGGACATTAGGCCACTCCATAGCTGGCAGACCATATCCAGTCGCGGCATAACTCCGCTGCTTCTTCTCATAGTCGACTGATGCCAAGTTGGAATAGCCGCCAGTGGATACACCCGAAAACGGATCTGCCGTACAGCCATACCCCATTTCCTGGAAAGTATCAACCCAGGCTTTGGCCAGAGGGCTTTCCTTCACAGCAGGAAAAGAGACTTTGATGGGACCTGAGTTGCCGTTGACCTCAGGATCAACCCAGCTCACGCCGATATGGCCGCGAGTGTCCTCATCCGGCAGCTGCAGCGTAGTCACCTTCTTATAATAAGGAGCAAGATTTTCCCATGTCCAACCGGTCGCGCCCAATTTGTCCCATGCATCAATTCCCGCCTTTGTGGGCGCAATGAAGGCCTGTCCATTGATAGCTGATGAACCTCCGAGAACCCTGCCTTGTGTTTCCTTAATGACTCGGTTGTTGAGTGCAGCCTAACTCACTCGGTCAGCGTTCGGGAATGGCTTGTGTTGAATATATGTGGGCACCAGCTTAATCATACCTGAGGCGTTGACTGAAACTGCCAGTCTGCTTCAGAGCCCATCAGGGTGGTCCAAAGAGCGGGTGTTTGGACCCGAGGATCATCAATCAGGTTTTTCCCAGCTTCGAGGACAATAACCGACCGGTTGGAGTCACACTCGGACAATCGAGCAGCGAGTACAAGACCTGATGTTCCTCCGCCGATGATCACATAGTCTGCCTCCGAAGGTGTGATGGGAGAGGAAGTCATTGGTCGTAGCTTTTAGGTAGTAGATGCGGCGTTATACGCAAGGAGGTTTGCGGAGGAAGGGTGAAGTATGTAAGGCTTTATGATAATAATCCTGAATGGCTGCAGAAAGCTGGCTCTCGCCAGACATTTATATTCTTAACCCGAGAAATAGAGTGAAGAAAGCAGCATGTGAGGCTTTATGGATCCTCGATGGTAAGATCGTCTTACACCCCGTCCACCCACCAATCGAAACAGTTCGTGTAATCCTGCCGCATGCTGAACAACGACACTTCACGATATCAGGATGCACTATTTCCACAGCGGCTCAGTATGAGGAATGTCTTATACACATATTATCTAGCATGATATCGTCGCGCCAGGTCAGCCTCACTGAATATCCTGATGGCTGCCAGCTCCAAGCTTCCCCACCCTCCGTTTGCTGGAATGGAGAGCTGGTTTGGGGTCCGCATTAGTTCTTGGCGATACATGTTTGCTACATGCATAGAGGATTGCTTGCTTTTATGTTCGTTCGACATGAACAAATTGGCCCGGTCGGGATACGGAAATACGCGGGGTCAGCTTAACTCGGGTTGTGTAGCCGCACAAACATTGTGTTGGCAGTTATTCCTGTTATTTGAATAGATGAAGGCTTATTATCTTCCTCTCAATAGACAAATTAAGCACATACGACCATAGGGTGTGGAAAACAGGGCTTCCCGTCCGCTCAGCCGTACTTAAGCCACACGCCGGGAGGTTAGTAGTTGGGTGGGTGACCACCAGCGAATCCCTTCTGTTGTATGTTTTTGATCTTTATTTTGCATGATGCTATCAAGTGAACTTGGGGTGTCATTGTTTTGTTGCAACAGTAACATAGGATATTGCAGTAAATGAGATTAGATTTTGCGAAGAGAAGCTTGACCAATGTATGGCTCTACAATCAACCAACGCTTCTGATTGGCAACAGAAACGCAAAGGCCCCCTTAAGATCAGAAGAAATATGTATTCTACCAGTACGAGAAATAGAGGGCAGCATGCAATGTTTACTGGTGGTGCGTAAGACCGCGTCATCTTTCAACTCAGCTGTTCCACCAATCGAAGCAACTCGGGTAATCCTCCCGCTTGGTGAACGACGATCTTTTGGGACATCGGGAGATCACAAGATGTTGGCTTTCTGCTGTCTCCACGATAGTCCAGGGCGAGAATTTATCTGCTGTAGTGGGTAACTGATTTGGGGCACACATTAAGTATTGCTAAAGCTTGTATGATCTATGTTGGGTTTGTAGCGCATGGAAACCTGCCCCAGTCTGAAATAATTGGCTTGATCATAAGATTTCAGCTTCAAGTAAGCTTGGGTAGTGTAACCCCAAAAAGACATTCCTCTTCTTTTAGCAACCTACTATTTATTCAATTGTAGTGAGCTTACAAGCCGCTTGTCTTGAGCATTCCAATCCTTCAGCAGTTGGCCCAGAGAATTAGCTTTTCGAAGTAGGAAAGAATTTGCCCCTTAAACGCAATGGTATAGTACAGGTTCTGACTCTCCAGTAGATTGCTTTCACAATATTTGCATCCATTCGCTTTCGTAAATTCATCATCCTTTTTATTATTGTTTGCTCTTTCTCCCTTAGAGATCTGCGATTGCTGTGTAAAATAAGTTAGTTACACAATGTATCTAGCGGTGGGATAGAATTGTCTGGGCAGAAAGCCTATCTACTAAAGAATGTTCCTGGGAAAATCTATAGTTTCTCAAGTGTGATAGAAGTGGCCTACTGAAGATTAAGAATCAGTAGCTGTCAGAGAAGCCTCTACCTAATATTCACTGCGGGACGCGAGGAAATGCTATCCATGACCTCATGACTCCTAATACCGCCTTATGCCACTTTTCCGGGGGTTCCGCTCTCCAAATGATCCTGTCTGATCACTAGACTCTAGTCTGGTAATTTCTGCGGTTAATATATATGGGGTAATGGAAATCTGCGAGTCTGGCCTTTCTATAGCGAAGCAGGATGGGATCAAGAATAAACAGCTTAATCTATAATTGATCTACCTAAATGATAAAATATACTACACTAGCAGCGAGTTAATGAAAATTGTTAACTACTAGTGTTTTAGCCGTACGGAAGTGGAGCGTGAAGATTTTCTAGCCTGACAGTTACTCTAATAGAAAGCGATAAAGTTCTTCTAATCTCATCTGACCGCTTACCAATAGTCTTTATACTGTTACATAGCCATTTTCAAATTTGGGGCAAGACCCCACAAGCTTCTTATTAAGTTTTTCGACATTGAATTTCTTCAGCGATATACCCAGAAGTTGTGCTCTCCAGCAGTTCAATCTGAACGTTTTATCCTACGTCACTATTGTATTCCATACTCGATCGCGTTACATACTCCAAAGCTATGTTGCATCAAGCAACTGTAACAGGCTTTCTCACCGAAAGTCTCTTTTCAATAATAGCAATATAAGTAGAGACTACCAAACCCTTTACTCTCTAAACAAGTGATACTCCGAGTATAACTTTTTCTGAGCCCTCGATTATAAAGTTCATATTGCCCAAGACTGATTCTTATTATCCGTCATGCACTTCAACTATCTCTTGGTCGCTATGCTGTCCGCTGGCTCCGGTCTGGCACAAGAGGGTACGTTCAGTCACCACTCCTACCCCTCTTGAATAATGGTTCGACGGTGACATAACTGATTAGTACCATAGACGGCGGCGACAATATCTCTGTCAATTGCTACTGGCTGGGGACAGATCCTATGTGTTCTCCAGAAGAGTGTTGGATACAGGATGATTCCCGCCCCTATCAAATGAGGACTAGTGATTGCGGCGACGGTGACAAATGTAGTCTTGGGGGTCTCAAGAGATGTTGTTGCTCGTACACTGGTAAGAAATGCCCTTTGCCACCCTTCTTGCCTCAATCAATTGTTACGTGGTACTAACCCTTACTCAGATGACGCGACGTGGGACTGGTGCCTAGCAACTGATCACTGTCGGTCCGGGCCTTAAGTGCACGTTGAGTCGATGAGGTCTGGCCTCCGCTTAGTGAAAGTTGTGCTCAGCCTGGTGCAGTCGCAGGGCATACAATTAGTCCAGCAGAAAGAAGGAAGCAGCGCCGGAAGAAAGAGTGGAAAGTGGCTAAGTGTACTTCGCCGGATACACAATTTGCATTAGTATCATGTACATGTACCAAGCTGTTGCAGGCTATATCAAATTCACCGCGAATTCTTTGTGCCATTTACTTGAAGGTCTGAGCTAGCTTGATAATTTGGCTAGCATAACTTCTCTCCCCGGAGACACCACAGATAACAAGAGAGATGAAAGAGAGCATAGCTACTGTTCGAAATATATTTCTTACTAGGATAGTCTGCCCACCCTCCCCTAGGATGTACCTCAGTATGCTTGTGGAATGGTAAGGTCCCGCAGGTTCTGCGGGTAATGATGGCCTTTTTGGCCTTTGTGGTAGTTATTTCTAGGTAGCTTCTTCCAGCAGATATGTTGACCCCTCAAAACCTTAGAATACTGACAGTGGCTTAAGTTAATCTCAGGATACTTGACTAAGTAGTGATAGTTGAGGACATTCGAAGTGCTTAGTAAGCACCGTCATATTCCTTCTTCGCTTGTATTCAAGCGTTTCTTTAGCAGATGGCAATAATTTTTCTGTCATTGGGCTAAACTGGCATTCTTGAATTCAGTCTGCCGGTGAAGCGCCTATTACGCCTGTTCCGCAGTACAGGCCCGATATATTCATCATGCTGCGAAACGTTCCAGACCAAAAGGATTCCGCCAAGCAACCTGAGTAATTCTACTTCGGTAACCAAACTGCCTGGGCTCTTTGAGATTCGTACAACGTGCAACACTGTTATTATCAGTCGATTGGCTCATCCGAGAAGAACGATCCTCGTGTATAAGACCGATACGGATCCCACTAGGGAGGCTCAAATTTGGCAATGTGGGAGGGCTAAACCTCTCCAATACAGCAATATGTGCGACATGTCTCTGCAACATGGTTGGATCCTTGGTTAGGTGACCTGCATGCAGACACGTATGCATGCATCTCGCCTTGTACGGTTGTACGACCAGCCTCATGATCCATGGAATAGTAGAGCTCCAGTCTCCAACAGACCCACCAGTCAGTGCAGCTACTCTTGACACCGCTGCGGCCCGTGTGATCCTTCCGCGTCCCAAACTCTAAAGCTTCATCCCAGATCCACTGGCGATCCACTACATCCACCAAGCCCATTACATCTACTGCGCCCACTCTATCCACTACGTGAGTACATCCACTCCGTCCACTATTCAGTCATGGGTCGTCCCACCGCTGATGGGTCGCCAACTACCCGTTGATACGCAATACACAATAATACTCTCCACTGTTTGGCCCCTAAGATACATTGGGAGTCTAGCATGCACTGCAAGTCCTACAGTTTGCGCTTCAGAACTTCCGGGCTCTTCTCTACTGGGCTAGAGATCACCCTCACATCACCACTAACCAGCTATCAGCGTCTGTAGTCGTGTGCAAACTCGTACTGGCTCGAGCCGGGGATTTGACGTGCCGTAAGACGCGTCTGCATCGATGGCTCCGGGCACGGATTAAAGAATTGACAATTCCGAGATGCACGGGCCTCGTTATCGGGCCAATTATCACAGTAGATCTTTTGCCAGTCGGTTGCAGCTCATGCGCGGCTAACATGACCAGGCTGGGATATGGACATCATTGTACCGGGCTTCCTACAGCTAGCCGATGTCTGGGAAGTGGCGACCATTAACGCGACTACTTGAGCTCCAATCACTACCGTTATTATTACAAGAGGCCTTACAAGACAGGTGAGATCCAGTATCCTGATGTCTTACTATCTCCTCTTCAGGCAGGCATGGAGTCCTCTTGCAAACAACCTCCTCCCTCCTGAGCTTGGCTTCGTAAGTTTGTCCAAGATAGGCTCTTCTAATCTGAGTCTTGAACTTGCCCGCATGAGGTCTAATCTGTAAGAAGCGTTGGAACTCCTCCCATTTTCTTAGTACTTCATTACTCACCCCATCACAAGAAAAGACTACGACTTATTGAGTTTTATGTAATTGCACAATGACTGAGTCTGATACTGCTGCATAGTGGGCACAAGGTGCTCTCAGAATACCACGGAAAACGATTGCTTCCACACGTCATCGATTACTTCGCGCATGAGAAACTTGAATGGGTCTTTGCTTGCATCCCAAAACCCAGTGATGTCACTGATAACTTTCGTGATGTGACTATGCAACTCAAGGCCGCAGCCGTGAATCAAATGGCCTGCTTGGTAGATCGAACCTTCCGCCAGACTGTCAGCCTGGATATGCATGGACGGGAATGTGTGAAGGGGTGGGTTGTGGCGCATGGCCAATTAGCTTCGTGGACTTTGTAGAAGGAATTGGAGCAGGAGCGTGCGAAGGTGCACCCGCCCTTCTCCTCCTGGGTGGGCAGATGGCTTCCACCGGTGAACACGACATGGTCTCAATTGGCCAGTCCTACATTTGCACCTCTAGGACCGATCACTGAGACATTGTAGAGAAATTGTGTCAAGACTGGGCTTAATCTCCGGTATTAGGGCTAGCAAGTGGTAGTACAACATCATCTCCTGTGTCACCATTCCAACCCATCCACACACAACTCCAGCATCTACATAAACAAACAAATACAACACTCGACACTTCTCACCTTCCCAAAGCCTTCCCCAGAAACCTCCTCTTCTTCTCCTTCACACCCAACCCAGCCCTAACATCCCCATTAATCACCTCCGCCTCCACCTTCTCATCCTCTCCCATACCCCTCCTCCTCCTCCAATTCCTCTCCGTATTCGTCACATACCTCTCCTTACACAACTCCCCATACACCTCCCTCGCCTCCTCCTCCGGCCTAATCCTCAGAATATCATACGTACTGGCGGCAGTCATAGCGGCGTCCCGATCACGGGTACTATTTCCCTCGACAACATGTATATTGACCCCTAACGCACGCAACTGCAATCCCCAGAGACCGTCTTCCTGCGAGGTCACGAATACGGTGATTTTCGTCGGGGAGACGGGGTACTGCAGGAGGTAGGAGAGGGCGTCGGAGTCGACGCCGTAGGGGAGTGGGCCGAGGACGAAGGAGTCGTTGCGGGCGATGGCGGCGGTGAGGAGGGGTGGGTAGTGTGAGTGGAAGTAGGCCTCGTTGGGGCCAGTGTTGATAGGGCCGGAGATGAAGGCTGTTTGGGAGGGCATGGTGGTGCCGAGGTGAGAGTGGTGGATGAAGGGGGTGAAGGTGGGTTGGAGATGGGTGGAGTGTTTAATTTGGGGTGATGAGGGATGGCTTGTCTAGAACGAGATTGGTATAGTGTATGTACTATCTGCTGTGTAGGCACTGAGATGGAGGTGGTTGGGAAACGGGTAAAGGGAAAAAAAAGAAAAAGAAAAAATGGAGCTGCGGGGAATCGAACCCCGGACCTCTCCCATGCTAAGGGAATATTATACCACTAAACCACAGCCCCATTTGATGAAAGATGCAAAATATGTTTCGTTATATGAGGGGAGCTAAAAGCACTCTTTGCACGGATGCCATTATTCGTCAGTAGCGGTCCGGTGTCTTGGACCACGAGTTGGTTCAACGTCGCTACCAGAACATAATGATGTGATTTACACCCCAGCTAATAACTTACTAGCTAGAGATCTTTTGATGACCTATTGGTACTGTGATTGAGCTTGATTCGGGTGGAATCACTGACTCAATGGTTGATATCCGCACTTGTGCGGCGATTATATATTTTAGCCGGATGTTCATAGGACTACTCGTACTACTAGTAGTACTGCATAACAGATTGATTGATCACGCTACACCTTACCAGGCGATGCTCAGAGGAGACAATTTCAACCTTTACTGCCAACAATCAATGGAAATAGTCTATAACAACCGTTGTATTGTTCCTGCTGAGGCTGCCGGAACACTGATCATGGGTCTGCCACGGAACTATGGAAATACCCGGAAAAAGCAACGGAACAATCACGGAATAAGCACGGTACTCCAATGTGACGGAACTACAGCTCCACCCACCCACCAGCCCTAACTCGTCCATCGTGCCAGGAAAGGTTAAATCTATGCTTAACTGGATCCACAGCTGCAGATGATCGGCATCGCCGAGAGGGGCTTTTGAGGCCGATGTATCCGGGTATGCCTCGGAGGCAAGCCAAAATCTCGATGGCAATTGTAGATGTCTCGGTTGATGCAGTATCCTTAGATGACTGATTGTGGGATTGGGTAGATGGAAAGTTGACTCGGCTTCATTGAGCAAGAGGGAACTGGTACAGACGTCACACAGATCCAGTAATCAGTCCAACCCAGATGCAGATCCAGTAATCAGTCCAACCCAGATGCAGGTCCATAGACAGATAATCATTCGTCCTCGTTTCAGATGCCGAAATATCCGTGTCACAGCAAGAAGGCAAGGATCGACTTGATCCATAACCAAGTCAATATAGCAAGCCCACCATGTCAACTATATAAGAGACACAAACTTCCCATTCCCATTCCCATCACTATAATCACCATCCTAACCCCGACCAATATCCTCACCCAATATTACCAAAGTAACACAGAATGTCTCCCCTCCCCCAAAAAGTCGCCTTCGTAACCGGCGCCAACGGCATCAGCGGCTACGCCATCGTGGAACATCTCATCCGCCAACCCAAACATGAATGGTAACCACCCCTCATCTCCTCTCGCCGAGCTAGCCACCTCCCTAACACCATCATAAAATACTCAAGGTCCAAAATCATCATCACCTCCCGACGTCCCTTGCCCACACCGTGGATCGACCCACGAGTGGAATTCGTCGCCGTGGATTTCCTGGAATCCGTGGAAACCATCATCTCTAAGCTCAAGGATATCTGTGCACCCGTGACGCACGCTTATTTTACTTCGTACGTGCATGATGATGATTTCAGGGTTCTGAAGGAGAAGAATGTTCCTCTTTTTAGGAATTTCTTGGATGCCGTGGATGCGGTGTGTCCTGGGTTGCAGAGGGTGAGTTTGCAGACCGGGGGAAAGGTATGTTTCTTATTCTATAGTTCTTCTGTTGATGGGTGGAAGGGATGGTGGGAGTTGATGCTGATGACAGTAGTACTATGGGGTGCATCTCGGTCCAGTGAAGGTGCCTTTGGAGGAGTCGTTCCCGCGGTATGACGATCAGGGGTTCAATTTCTATTACAACCAGGAAGATTATCTGAGGGAAGTGCAGAAGAGGAGGAATACTTGGTCGTACAATATTATCCGACCAAATGCGATTAATGGATTTGCTCCGCATGGTGGGTTTATTTATCCATCCACCCATACCATTCGCTGTGGTGAGACACCTGGGCTAACGCTGTCTGGAACATCCAGCAAACGGAATGTCAGAGGCATTGACCATCGCCATCTACATGCTCATCTGCAGAGAGCTCAATCAGCCAGCAACGTTCCCTGGAAATGAGTACTTCTGGAACTCCATCGACGATAATTCATACGCACCAAGCCTGGCGGATCTCACAGTCTGGGCTTCTTCGCAAGAACATTGCAGGGACGAGGCATTCAATCACGTCAATGGTGATGTTTTTGTGTGGAAGCATATGTGGCAGGATGTGGCCAAATATTTCGGGGTCGAGGTATGGTGCTTTCCCTAATAGTAGCGTTGCCACATGCAGGCTAACCGTGAGGTTCTGTAGGTACCAGAGCCCAAGTTTGAAAAGGCCGCTGGTCAGGCAAAGACCCTGAGCAATGAGATTGATATGGTGGAATGGGCAAAGGATAAACGTGGAGTCTGGGAGACTGTCGTCCAGAAGCACGGAGGCAAGGTCGAGGCTTTCGATTGGGGCACTTGGGGTTTCTTCAACTGGGCGACGGGCAAGTCGTGGTTGACGATTTCGTCCGTCAACAAGGCCAGGAAGTATGGCTGGCAGCGACACGATAATACTTTCGACACCTGGATCGAAACTTACAGGTCGTTTGAGAATGCTGGTGTCTTGCCGTCGCACGCTTCATTGGCTTGAGCGGGTTAGACTTGGGATATGCATTTGATGATCACCAGCCCCGTTCGTGAAGGGACATTGAGAATGAGGGGGGAAAGATCTAGGATTCCTCACACTAACATAATGGACGTGTGGTGAGCGACGAAGATAGATAAACTCAGTCGGCTTTTTGTCTCTGAAAAGCATCACGTGTCTTGATCATGTATAAAATCAGAGTTGACATAATTGCCAAACAAAGCTTCTAGCCATTCCATTTCCCCCAATCCACTATCTCCAAATTCACCAACAGTCAGTTCGTTATGCATAGCCAAGGGTCTTGAAGTAGTATGACTGGTGCCCGCGCCGCCTTCTGGCTGGTCGTTTGGTAAGGCGTGTATGCATGCAGAGCCTTGTGTAGGATGCATTCCAAATCCAGTACCAATTCGAACGCCTTCCTCAAAGTCAAAGTCAGTCATAACTAGGCTGGCCAGGCCATCGAATGACAGAACCTGCGTAGGCGAGTAAGGCCCAGTAATATCTGGCCCGTACAAAGGAGGCATCTGAGAGGTGGGTTCGCCTCCTACACCCGAACAGACATTCATATCAGGTTGTCCGACAAATTCATGTTCCCCTACTGATGGGTCGCTTGGTATTTGGCTTGGGTGAACCATGGAAGAACCTTCGCCACTGTCAATCCCTGTTGGTCGAGCCCGACTATCCAGAACCCCGGGAGCACGAGATGAATATTTATATACTGAGAGTCCCGTGCCCACGACATTGTCATCTTTCAATAACCGAGACGCCATATGCCTCAGACTTGAAACAACTCGTATTAACTTCCCAGATACCCAAGTTTTGGTGCAATAAGACTCCAGCAATCGGACTGCATGAACTGTGGCTCCGCCATAGGCAGCCTTGAACGTATTCTCCTTCAATATCAGCCCGAGGGAGGTTATTGTCGCTCCAATTAGGTAGTGTATGAAAGGAAAAGTGAAGATGGCTTTTTCCTCAGGGAACTGAGAGACCTCTTCAATAATGCCATTAGCGATTTGCATGCATGACATTTCGTTCTCGAACAAGTCCAGAGGAGTCCCGTCAGGCGAAACAGATGCGCATAGCAGGGGCCTGCGTATCAGAAGGCGAACGAATAGCCACCGCTGGGGATATCAGTAAGGCGAAATCAATAGAAACAAGCAGGCTAAGTGTCATACAGTTCGCATTAAGGATTGCTGCTTTATCAACCACCATGGCGTTTCGACAAGTTGCGTTGCGCGTGATCCATAGTGGGGATGGGCAAAGTCCTGATGAATGTCTTTCTGAGCCCGGAACAGCAGGCGTTCAAGATGCTCAAGGAGAGGATAGTTGGGAGCCGGATCCAAGCTCTTAGCGCCATAGAGCCCCTCCCAGACTTTGCCCAAGACTTGAGAGTAGGTTATCATAGCTCTAAAGTAGGGAAACGAAGTGGTATGAGGACCATTTGCTTCCGACGGTTGAGGTATGTCTAGGTCAGTATTGGGGCGGTTTAGGGACGCAGAGAGCTGATCATCGTCTACTGGTCGAGGTAAAGGCGTGTCAACATTGACATCTTGGATCAAGGATGGGTGGCCGGTCTCAATAGCCAGGCGACGATCCAAAATGTAAAGACTCCACCACATCCGTCGAAACATTTCACTGTGATAAGGAGACATGTTATGTATTACCCTAGATCGGTGTAGCCCAAGATGATGTGCGTGGCTGATAGCAAGAGCCAGGAGCTTTTCGGCCTTTCCAAAATTATCAAGACGAAAGAGATAGATTACCTACGGAAACGCGATGTAAGCGTGAGTCATACATATTGCCAGGGGAGGGCTGGAACGAACCACCAAGGCCAGTGTTTGTAGAAGTAGAAGTGGATCTGGGCAGCTTTCGAAACTGTCAAGAAGGTCTCCAATCAACCCATATGCTGCTCCATATAAGCTCCAGCCTGCTGAGTGCCGGCCTTCTCGATTCTCCAACCTTGGTGACTCGGTACACTGTCCAATAGCAATGCATACGAGAAGCTGAGCCAGAGCTATCTCGGAGATCTTTGATTTGTAAATATCAGGTTCAGAAGACAAAGCGAGACTATTCCACATGACATCGTGATTGTTTCGGAGCGTTGGTAGGTGTAAGAACGGATACAAGATATGGATTTCCATACAAAAGATGTCCAAGGACTTATCCCACTGCGGTCGCTTAGGCTGGATACCGTATGTTAGGAATATATTTCGGTAGTTATTATACTCTGGACTCTTTTCTCCCCTCTCATGATGAGGAGGCGGGGTCAAAATCGGTGTGGAAATTTGAGAATGTGGAGCGTTGGTGGCAGGACCACCGTGGCCTTGAGTTGTCTCCAAGCGTTCCTCGACTTCCTCCAATACATGTCGGATGGAAGTTTCACCGGAAAAAGAGTTTACCTCATCACGAACAAGCGCCTTGTTCTTTGAGCTAGTAAAGGATCCGTTTACGATGGTGGTCGATCCTGGTCTATCCACTGGGCCTGTTTCTGCATCGATGCTGTCACGCCCATTGAAAGCAGGGCATACAGCATTAATGAGGGACTGCAACTGTCGTTCGACGCGATCCAATCTCGTCAACACATCCTTCCCCCTCACACTAAAGCTCCAATTAGAAACAGTTCTCCAAGAGGCGTCACGCAGATGCACTTCAGTGATGATGGGGTGACGAACGCGGGATTTTCCGTACTGTCAATGTCTTCCCGAGTCACCGATTCCCTCACATAACTTTCAGGCATTTCATTCCTAACAGATGTTCGACGTCGTAGATCAATGGCATTCTGGGAGCATCGTCGCCCGCTAAGCAGGCAAGGTTGACAAGGCAAGTTCCCATCACACTGCGTTCACGATTAGCAGTTGATCGTACTCTGACTTTTTTTGGCACCCCCACTTTGACCTTTCGCTGGCGACATTGCATACTGTAGGGTTTGGGTCAGTTGAACGGAAGAAGCCGAAAATGGCCTGAGGCATAATATCATACCATGCCTGAGAGACATATCTGCCCCGTCTTTGGCGTTTCGAGTCAGGCAACGCATTGGGCTGATTAGCACCGTGAAAAGAACTGCCATCACCAGAGCGTTTGCTGCCCCGTGAATTACGTGTAACTGTTTCTGGCCGCACCATTTGGCTTCAATGTCGGAATTTGGCCTGTTGGGTAGTAAGTACCATGTCGTTTCTAAGGTTGTCTTGCGGGGATCTACTGACGGAAGTTGCCGGAATCACGGAATCGAATAGACCGCCTTCTATTTACAGTACCATGTTTATGCCCCAGGCAGAATAAGTGGCTGTTTCAGTCTGCAGCTATCTTATAGCAGAAGTGGTGGCGGTGTTATTCCCGGTTTGTGACCCTTAAGGGTAAAGAACTTTGTTGTCAGGTTTTACCGGAGTTTCGAATTGGAGCCCGATAGCTTCTATCGGGAGCGGCATGTACCAGAACAACTCAAATCCGATATCTCTATCTTCTTGCCAGAATACATTTCCCAATTTTAAGTCAAGTTGCAGACGCTTAGTCTGCAGATTGCTGGTCATAATTCCGCTCAAAAGGCTATGAAATATTCGCACCTCCCTTCAATCCGTTTTTGACATGGATTTGCCCTTTTCTCCCCAAATTTATTCAATTTTTATAAATTTATTTTTCTTTCCTACAAATTTCTGCTGTAGAACTCCAAGGTTGTACGTCGAGAGCTTTCAAGATTGTTGTGGGGGTTTTCCGACTTGCTTGTGTGCCTATAAAGACCACAGCATCCTCCTAAGAACATTAGATTCCTTTTGCTATTGCAGAATCCATCCATCGAATTTTAACATATCGCTCGCCTTACTAACTTGACGTGGTCATAGCCTTACACTTAGATCTACCACAAAGATACCGCTCGCCTTCTTCCCTTCTTTATCAAAATTTGCCAATCTCTGCACTTCTTGACCTACAAGCATGTCTTACTCTGAGACAGACCTTTTCCAGTATACTAGTGGCCGTTGGCTCTGGAACGAAGAGCAGCAGCTCAAGAACCGATATACTCCTTTCAATGTGCCTGAGTTGAAGAGAATTGCAGCGCATAGTATCGGTGCAGGTACATGCACTGCAATCACAAAATTGGCAGAAGGAAACTACAATAAATGCTTTAGACTTGAGATGGACAATGGATCAGCCGTGATTGCACGAATCCCCCACCCCAACGCCGGGCCCAGGTACTATACTACGGCATCTGAGGTTGCAACCATGGACTTTGTGAGACATCATAAATGTTCTAATATGTGTGATCTTTCTAACATGCAATCTAGGCTCGAACGATTCTCGGAATACCGACACGCCGTGTGTATGCTTGGGATGCCGACAAGGATAACTCCGTCGGTTCTGAGTACATCATCATGGAGGAAGCATCAGGTACCATGGTGCAAGAAGTGTGGGAAGATTTTTCCATCGATGACAAAATGGACTTCGCACAAGAGCTCGCTGAGTTACAGAGCAAGTTGCTTCAAGTACCCCTAAACTGGTATTGTGTAGTTACCCGTCGATTCTGATATATTCATTTGCTAAATTCAGATTCCACAGCTATGGAAGCCTGTACTATGCAACCTCCAACATCAAAGATGCCGTTCCGGCTGAGACCAGTGGAGAAGTAACCCCAGAGCTTAGAGACGAGATACGCCGTCGTTTTGTTATCGGTCCAGTTGCGCTAAGAGACTATTGGAACAATCAACGTGCAAAGATGGCCTTGGATCGTGGACCATGTTTGTCTCCCAGAAAAAGCCCCTCACCACCTCAATGCCATTACCTATCTATTTACTCGTTACTCTGATCTGACTAATCTGACTAATGTTTTGAAGGGCAACAACCACAGGATTATCTACTCTCCCTAGCTCGGCGGGAAGAGGCATGGATTCAGCAATACGCAACAACAACAACAACATCGCCATCCGAAGATTGCCCCCAGGCACCCTCAGCAACCCAAAGTGACCCAGACAGTCATCTCTCCTTGCTGCACAAATATGCCAAAGTTGCACCCCATCTCTGGCATACAGATCTGCACGCTGGAAACCTCTTCATTCAAAACGGTAGATTATCTAGTGTCATAGACTGGCAAGGACAGTGGATAGCACCACTGGTGCTTCAAGGATGTCCTCCAAAGCTAGTCCACTATGATGGCGAACTTATCTTTGAAAAGCCCGAGAACTTCGATGATCTTGATGCACAGGAAAAGTCTCGGATCCGAAAATGTATAGGCAAGTCGATGGTGTTCTATCTTTATCAACTGCGGATTAAGAATAGGTTCCCCCTTCTTTTGGAAGTCTTTGGACATCCCTATGGAGAAATTAGGACGGATCCAATTACTATGATGGGCAATACGTGGGATAACGACATCATTCGATTACGGGGACGTCTGATAATGGTGGTAAGGTATTCAAAGTCTTTTCTTTCTTTCTTCAGGGTACAATCTCTTTTGAGTAATTACTGATCATCCTTCAGATACTGGGAGTCAATGGGATTTGACATCCCCTGTCCTATTCATTTTAAGGAGGAAGAAATACATAACTGCTTAGAAGAAGAGGGCGAGATATGGAACAGGATACAAAATTTTTGGGACAAAGCTGCCAAAGTGGTGGACAGGGAGGGCTTTTCATTTCATGAGTGCTACGATCATGCCGTTTTACTTTTTAAAAAGGTGCGAGAGGCTTGCAAGGAAGGTATGGAAGGGAAAGAATGGGAAATGTGGGACAAGCAGACACGCTGGGTTGAGAAACATTACCGGACTGATTCTTGATTGTGGTCTTTCTCCCAGATTGAAGTCATCAGAGCAAAATCATTGGTATTTTGTTTCATCTCTCTCTTTCCACATAGCTATTCGTCAATGCCTTATTTCGTGAAGCTCTAGTGTGCTTCCACTTACTATCGTTTGAAATGCATTGGCTACTATACTCTTTGATGCGAACAAAATTAGAGCATTCGTCAACTCTTTTAGTTATATAATGCGAAGAACTAACACGATGTCTAGTTTGATGCGCACGTCAATGGTTTGGGAGCCGCTGACATACACATCTCCACTAGTAACTAATGAACAGAATACTTCTTTGTTTCCTCGTCCTGTTCCCTACGATTGACTCAACGCTATGTGGACTCTACACTCATTCACAAAGGACAAGTATCGCCATGAGTTATGTGGCTGTGGGTCTCCTAAGGTGACCTGCGTAGATTTCCGAAAATAAATGAGCACATGAATCACGAAGAGAGGTGCATAGTCCAAGAATAATTCTGCCGAATGATCTCTAGTGGAAGAATAATTGGGTAAAACAATGAACCACTGACAGATGCGAACCCCAATACACAAGTATTAGAGAACAAAAGCCGCATAGTGGAATTCCCGTTCATCACTGTCCTGACGGCGCCTGTCTCCGGGCGGGATCTCCCGGGGGAATCATATAATTATAGGCGCGAATATCATCTCCGGTCATCAAATTGGCAAGATCATACTGAACTTCCAACCCTTGTCTTTCCAACTCAAGATAACCTGGCGCAAAGACCTCAATCTGCGCCGTCAAGAGCTCCCGTGTGAATCCGTGAATGTCGAGTTCGCGTTTCTGCTGGGCCGAGTCGATGATGTCAACTAGCGGCTGATCTAGATCCAGACTGTACGTAGGAGAGAATGAAGATAATGTCACATTTGATCAGCAAAATCCCCTAGACTTACTCTCGGATTCTGTCCATGAATTGAATTGGGTGTGGGAGATTTGCTTACGGATTATTTCTCGGGAGGAAACGGGCACGCATAGACCAGTCTATCATTTCTGCCAAGGGCCAGCCTTGGACGTTATGATACATCATGATTTCGCCTGCATGCCAAGGGCGCAGACGCGTATAGTCTTTGATCTCCCCATTCACGTGAAGTTCAAGCATGATGAGCTGGCCAGTGTTCAAGGCTTCCTGGTCTATTACTGTGAAGATCTTATTATTGAAGCGTGGAAATAGTACTGTTCCAGAGTGCGTCATCGAGATATAGCGAAAGTCCGCGGATTCAAGGCAGTATTGTGGTATCAAAGCTTCAGGTGCAGGTGAAGATTTGGTATGGTCCGGGAATACGGCTGGAATCTGTGGGTATGGATCGGGTTCGAAGCTCATCGGATGCGACTTCCCTCCACGACGTAGGCTAGTGTAAAGGAGAATTAGTAGCTTGACGAGCCGGGTGTAATTGGTCGCATGACTTTCGCGATCTACCGGGGCGAGACAGAAGAATTGTTTCGGAGCATGCCTAACTCGTTTGAGCAAGGGCATAGGATATTGGACGGCTGATTTTGGCAGGGACGCTTGATTTTGATAGGACTATTACCATTCAATATTAATGCTGGGTTTCGAACACTGAGGGCACAGGTCTTTTTTACGTCACGGAAGTCTTGACTTGCAGACGCCCAACGCTCCATCAAGCGGCGGCGTTGCTGGAGCTCTTCATCAAGACCCTCAGAAACAGACCATTCTTCCTACAGTTCTAGTGAGATTGTGTACTCCCAAGGGATCGAAGACTATGTGAAAAGTCCATACCTGTACAAACTGGAGCCAGCCTTTGGATATTTCAGCCATATCATGATTTTCTATGTTGGAGCTGGACTCCAGACGAAGGCATGCTGGGATGCCACCCGGCCAGAGGTCCGTGGATGGGATGAATGGCTCAAGTTGAAGCATTCTGTGAACAAAAAGGATGGAGAGATGTTCAGCCAGAGACGATCAATTCAGGGACTTCAAATGTAAGGGGAAATAATAGGACGGACCGGATTATGGTAAAACCCTAGGTGGGGCCCGTTCCGAAGCTTAGCAGCGCATTAGGCACCATTCTTGGTCGCTTTCTTCTGTCCTATTAGTAGTCTGGAGAAACTTGTACGTATACGGGGGAAAAAGGAGAGAAACAATAATAACATAAAATAGAGGTAAGGGAAAAACAAAAGATTCCTCACGCGACGGGTTAGTTCGAACACCGGGACTTATCAGTTGATTTGCTGCAACCCACACATGACCATAAGAATAGCTAGCTGCTAGTAGTGGAATGGAAGCAGCGCATTTTGCTCTCAGAGCAGAACCATGGTACAGAATATGCACAATCCAGAGTCTGAATGGTCCATGATGCTCGATACGCAGGGTATGGCGTAAGTTTGCTACTATCGGCTTCACTTGATCGAGAAGTAATAACATTCTACACACTAATCATGCGATGGTCGGCAAATTCCGGGTAGGTAGCCGGTCAAATTGCCCTTTTCGTCTCAAACTTGTGGTATACACAATCCTCCATTCAGAAAGCGGCAGGTGGAGGCCCTGGATGAATTTCCTGTCTTTGCTAATTTACGTAGTAGTAGTGCGGGACCGCATCCCTGGTTCCTCAGGGTCTTAGTACAAAGTATGCATCCGAGCTTCCGGGGTCTTCACCTGTGATTGGTGGATCGGGAGGTCGACAGGCGTTCAGAAGTCTCGGACTTAAGCAGAACATTCTCCATAGGAGCTATCGCAGGATTGCGAGGCACAATAGTCGCTGGTCGATCCACTGGAACAACCTCATTAGTACCTTGTTAGTCTCATGCATCGAACAGCAAGTCACGTACCAGTAACCATAAAGGCTGCAGCAATTGCCAAATTGTGAGTTCAGACAGGTATAGCCTCCATTATTGGCCCCACACAGACCATTTGGCGAGATATTGGCTGTGGATGTCGGGGTCGCCGTAGATGCTGAGGTCGGAGTCAGACTGCTGGCTATGGAGGAAGCCTTGCACTCGCCGTATGCAGGGTCACAGTTGGTTTCGCAGTAGTCGCTCGTTGATCCACTGATCGTGGTCGGGGGCAAACCCAATTAGTCATCACTCTAAGCGAAGTCTGGTTCAACTCACCAGTAGCCAAATTTGCTGCAGCAGTTCCCAAATTGAGAGTTGGTGCACGAATACCCGGTAGACTCGCCGCAAGTGCCATCTGGGGAGGTGTTCACGGACGAAGATGCCGTAGAAGTCGCTTCGGAAGATTGAGTAACGCTGCTAGTAGTCGTCGTGCTCGCGCTGTTAGTAGCAGACGCTGAACCCATGGAAGCCGTTAATCGCGCTGTTGCAGTGGCTATCATTTGACTGGAGTAGGATTCCGTCTCGGTCATCGAGGTCACCAGTGAGATACTGGTGTTGAAGGCTTGAGTCGGCAACGGCTTCGAGAGATTGAGCAAACAGACGCGATCGTATTGCTCCATGAAAGCGTCATTAGTAAGCATATCGGATGTCAAGGAATCGTCTGCAGAGATATTGTAATATGCCATAGCTTGTCGACAGAGAGTATAATTTTGAGTCATTTCCCACACAGTAATATTGTATGTAGCTGTAACGGTGGCGAAGGTCGGGCTCGTTGAAGCAGCCACCTGAAGACCGATTCAGTATCGCAAACCCGAACCCAACCCCAAACTATCGAACAGAATTTCTTACGTTGTAGTACGGTTGGCGGTAACGGTTGCGTTCAGATTGATAGTTGAAGCCAATGTGGTATATGCCGTCCGGCTTGTCGTTGAATAACCGGCATAGGTGTTGATGTTGCCCACCGCTTGAAAGCACTAGTGGAATTGAAGATTCCGATAAGTTCATCTCCATAATGGCTTTAGGGGAATGAATTACATACATAGCTATTGCCTTGCCATAGGCTAGAGCAGCTGTTGCCTAGTTGAGGATTAGAAAGTAGAAGTCCGTTTCCGATATACCGAACATTTCTGCAACGGTGTCACATGTCTCGTTAATGTGAATGGTGTGCCAATAACCACAGTCACTGTTCGAGGTAGTTACTGCATTGCTTGGGATTGGACTTCTGGGTATTAGCAGCGTGTATTATCCTGCCTGGAGAATCAAAGGTTCTCTCACACTGCGGAACTAGCAGGCCGTAGAGGAAAGGCTGTTGGAACAGATAAACTGCCAGGGGGACTGTTGTGCCACGGGAATCAGTGTTTCTGTCATGTCGGTATCAAGAACAGTATAGGGAGAGCAGTACCTTAGACAAATGTATTGGTCAACCAAGGTATTAAGGTTGAAACACTGCGAGTTAACCCTGGGATTCCATGATCGGAAAATAGGAAGAGAAACCTTCCGAGAAATGTTGGAGAGAATGGATGCGCAGGTGTCATTAGGCTGCACCAGATAGATAGAACAAATGCCCGGAAGACAAAGGATTTTCTTGGCGGTTAGATACTGACAACCGACTCCCAGCGCGTTGATGTCTATCAGTAGTGGGGTAGACAAATTGAATGCTAGAGTGATATCTACACACTTTTTGTTCCCTGGCACGGTATATAGATCGATATTGGGGTCACTGACTTGCAGCAAGAAGTGGCTGCCAAAGAATGACTGACAGTTCGGGAGGTGACAGATGCGGTGGCGACAGTTCTGGAGAAGGCATGGATAGTAAGTGTAAAGATGAGACAGCTCGAAGCATTCATGGCAGCGCATGATTGGGGAATCAATGCCATTCAGTGATTAATGCTCGCAAAGCAACGACCAACTGAGCAAATGTTAGCTTGAAGATGGAATACGGACCTCTCAACATAAGAGAAGGTCTTCAACAACTTATTTAGAGACGACCCTTCATTCTGAGATTCTCAATACAACGGGACTCACCCGAAGAGAAGATATCCATGAAGTGGATGTAAAGTTAGGCTTTTCTGCTAGTGCCTTAGACCTACACAGATGAATCCAGGGTTTGAAGCAGAATCTGGTATTCCAATAGCTTATGGGGATAAGTAACGATATTTTTGGTTGATGATTCTGTGATGTGAGAATGGAAATTAAGAGCGCTGTGAATACCGTGCTGGACCCAAGACAAACTGTGCCATGTCATCTGGGTCAACATAATCCAGGCGAAGACATTTCGACCCACAATTCGATGATCACCATCGTCGAAGATAGTCCTGCAATTGGATTTTGGGGCATGTGAGATCGAAGGGCGTGGAAACGGAGGCCTTTGCGTCTAGAGGAGTCAACACTGGTGGGTTAGTATCTTGTTGGATGGTATTGCTAGATTTTAAAGGATCTAAGTGAGATCGTGAGGTAACATATGGGAAGGATGGCCGGCATGGAGTATATTAGATTAGATCAATGAACGTTTCCTCTGGGCACCATTGTTTGCCCCGCTAGAATGTAAAGTAGGTTAGCATAATAAAGCCAAACTCAAGGAGCCAATGGTATCAATCACTTCGATAGGCTCTCAAGACCACAGCTTAGACCTTGAAGCACTCCCTCCTCTATGATACATTTTCACGGGTAACACTAGTAGCCGTTTCCGCATCGCTAGAAACTATCAATAAAGCACTAGCCAACAGACCAGAATAACCAATTTACCTGACAGCCCAAGCGATCACTGCAAATAAACTCCCTGAATATGCCCTATCTCCACAACTCGCTTACCAAGTCCTAGCCCCTCGAGTGGATAATTATATACCAGGAACCACTACATACAGCACCTGCATACAGCCTCCTGCACAGGGCCGTTATCACGCTAGGGATAGATAATTTCCCTGGCTCCTGCATACAACCAATCGGGTACGTTAACGAGACCCATAACTGATGATGGTTGCCTGGGATATAAATAGGGCCGGTTCGTGCATGCCGGACAGCCACCCTGGATAATACTATTGCCGGCATGACAGTACTACCGGTAACCCCAACGCAAGGAATGGAATGGGTTGATAAACCAAACATTATCCCTTGACAGCCCAAATAACAATTATTTCTTCTTGTTTTGCTCGTTTGGTGGTCTGAAGGCTCTGTTCTACCGACTTTCGTTTCTCACCATTGAACTCTATCCATTTCACACTACACCAAAACTACCGATTACTACCACCACAAACATAATGCACACCCTCAAATCCCTCCTCCTAACAGCTCTCACCCTATCATCCTCCCTCACCCTCACGTCCGCCACCACAACCAGCAGCAGCAGCAGCACCACCCCAACCTACAGCATAACGGAACCCACCTCGGGCGCCATAATCTCCCTGAACACCGCAACCGTCATATCCTGGAACACCACCGAACCCAGCACCTCAAAGTTATCCATCCACCTCTCCAAAACCACCAACGAAACAACAAACCTCTACACCATCGCCAGCAACATCTCCAACTCGGGCTCAATCTCCTGGTCACCCCCATCACGCATAGGGACGGGCTCCGACTACATCGTCGTCCTAGAACCCTCCTCCTCCTATGAGGAATACACCTCGTCCCCCTTCACCATCTCATCCTCCACCAACGCCTCGACGACATATTACCCCACCGAAGGGGAGGTCGTAAAAACAGGCCAGACTACTATTATTACCTGGGAAGTAGAGAGGAATGTCTCAGAAGTGAGTATTTATCTTATGGAGGGTGAGTTGAACAATGGCAATGGAACTGCGAATGGAACTGGACTGAAGAATGTGACGACTATCACGACGGATATTGCTAATTCGGGGGATGTGGCGTGCGTGTTGCCGGAGAGTGTAAAAAGTGGGGACGATTATCGGTTTGCGATTGTGGATGTTAAGGATAAGGCGAGGGTGAAGTATTCGGCGGTGTTTGAGGTTGTTAATTCGGGGGGTGATTCTTCATCTTCGGGTTCTTCGAGTGGGAGTGCGGATGAAAGTGGGAGTGGAACTTCGGACTTGTCTGGGAGTTCGTCGAGTGGGGATGGGTCAGGATCTGGGACTGGGAAGGAGACTTCGGGTGCTGCGAAGGTTTGGGGCTGGGGTTTGAGGAAGATGGGGTGGGGGGTTGTTGGGCTGGTGGTTGGGTCTTTGCTGGTTTAAGGTAGGGCTTGGTTGTTTCTGCTGGTTATGAGTGTGTGATTGTATTTGGTTTGTTCTCTGGTTGCGATTCAGCTATTTGAAAAGCAAAATGTATTACAATATCGAGTGTACGCGTTAGTAGTTTACTTACTAGCCGTTAATGCATGATGTCGATTTAGGGCTAACGGCAGCGCGGAGCAACTAATTTAGTCGATCCACAGCGGGAATAACCTTGTCGAAGTACCCCATAGTCCGTACCAAGGTAGCGATATGGGTCGATCACGGTAATTGGGACGACGCACTAGATATGGATATTCAATGGCAATGTGTCGATTAATACTTCAAACACAGGACGTCAATATAACATTTAAGCCGTGGCGCTGTCCGTGCCACAAAAAGTCTTGGAAAACGTGGTCGGTGTCGTGTGACTGATCCTTGTAACGAGGGTACTTCCCGAAGTCACAGTGACCTGGCGGTACATTACATACAATACATACCTTAAGGCAACTTCCAATACTTGTAGCGTCACGAACCAATAAAACAGCTTGACATATGAACACTGTTATACATCCTACTAAGGATATACTTAAGATATGATGCATGATACCATTTCCACAACTTTACATAGTCACAGTAGTAAGTATAGCATGAAGAAACCCCCAACTCCACCCAACTCCTCCCAATCCGATCCCCACATCATCAGAGAACGAAACATCCATGACCACAGAGAACCTAATACCAGCTGCTAACCACAACAAACCCCCACATAACCCCTCTCAGAAATGTAAATAAAATAGAAAAAATCAATCCCCCGTCCCAATCTCCAAATCCAACTGCACCCCATTAGTAATACTATAATCCCCAAGGGTAATAAAATCCTTAAAGGGGCGTTCCCCCTGCCTCTTCAACATAATCTCCCTAGGAGCCCTTCCAATCTGCGCCGCCACCAAGACCTTCAAATCGCCCACCGTATCCGACGGCAAACACGGCACCGTAGCTTTACTACCCAGTCGATCATTGACCGTCACAAGGATCATTTCCTCCGTGCTAGCGGGCTTGAGTTTCTTCTTCTTCTCTTTCTTTTCCTTCTTTTCGCTGTCGGTTTTCTTGGGCTTCGTTGAGTCGCGATCACGGTCACGGTCACGGTCACGGTCGCGGCCCCTATCTCTGGCGCGGTCGGGGCTGTAGTCTCGGCGGTATCTGTCTCTGTCTCCGTATCTATCGCTGTTGTCTCTGTAGCTATCTCGGCGAGGAGGTGAGCGCGCGCGGTAGCCGCGGTCAAGTGGACGGTCGGTTTCGTGATTGGGGTTGTGGTCGTCGCGGGGAGGTGCGCGTTTCTCTTTCCAGCGGAATCCGCCCGGGCCTTTGGGGGGTTGGCGCCGGGGTGAGCGCGAGCGGGAGCGGCGTCGCCGCGGGGGCGAGTCGGGCATGGTGGGTGGGACGGGTGTCCGTGAGGATGAGGGATGGAGAGGGGAGGAAGCTTTTTGAAGCTTGGTGAGGATGGTTGTTGACGTCGGGTGGGTGCAGAGATGGGCAGATGGTGACCGCTTTCTGTTTTGGGGAGCTACTGTTTTGGGGTAGATGCTGAGTTATGTGTTGTGATGAGTCAGCTGTGCTGGTTTGTGCACTAGTTAACTACTAGTATGCTGCATTTAGATTCGTCTCACATGCAACTCAAATCTTTTCATACATTAATATAATACAAGTCATATGTAGTAATACACAGACAGAATACAATCGCCATGGGGTTATGTCTTATTCGCAGACCCATGGCTCCAGACGCCCGCGCCCATATATATGTAGTTCCCTATTGCATAAGACGACATCGACATCGATAGAGGAGGATAGATTAGAGACGATGACCTTAGTCATTCTCATCAAGCAGAACCTTCAGCTTCTGCAACTTGTCCTCACAGTTGACCTCCATCTGCATCACCACGTCCACGCTCTTCTTCTTCGTGATGAGCAATTGCGAGACCAACCAGAAGTTGTACCCGTTCTTGAAGAAGCCCATCGACGCCCACACCCCGCTCGAAAGAGTGTTGCTGAGCGTCATCCAGTGCTCGCGCCATCGGGCCAGTGCGACTCGGATATGGGCTAGCATGAGGTCGTCTGGGATCGCCCGAGACTGGCTCTTCTCTGGGGGATCGAAGCTGAAGAGGTGCTTCGGGTGAGAATTCTGAGTCTTCCGGAGGATGGGACCTAGTAGTGACATGTGCGAATTGATAAAAGTGTACAGAACTATATACATTAGCTTAGCGGTATGTGCTATCGGTGGGTGACTTACCGTGGATCAGTATGAACATGTCGAGTACTGTCAGACTAGCCATACTGCCAGACGCGGATGAGTCCGGAGTGGAAGGCATCGTGTCCTTGGGATCTTCCTCGAATAGATTGTGGAACGCTTCCAAAATCGTGACTCCCCTCGAGGCCTGGAAGTTGCGATCGGAGTACGGGTGTTCGAGAGCGAAAAGTGACTCGGCGCAAGGAAAATCGCACTCGACTTCCAGATGTGACAGACGGCAAGGGTAGTTCTGGAAGAAGGAAAATGCACAGTCGAGAAGCAGAATGATGCTCATGGTACTTCTACCGTCAGCGGGGTGAATTAGAAGACGGAACGGGCACATACCGTATGCGAGACTCTGTCTGAATCCATTGAAACTCCGAGACAGCCTGGTTTTGGTTATGGCGGCATTTGGGAAGGCCCATTCGACGAGCGACCTGCTCATGTCAGTAACGTCACCTGTCTCAAGTCCATAGTAAGTACCTTGATGACTTCGCTGAACCGGTTTTCCATCGCTCGGTTGCGCGCCGTCGGGCTTCCCGACCAGTACTGCGCAATAACCATGATGAAGCCGGCCTGCAGGTTCTGAAACTGAATCCAATCATTATTCCCACCATCAAACATTCGACGTCCACTGAAGGCCAAAGCCACCTCGTTCTCCGGAGAGAAGGTCTCGCTGGAGAAAATGTAGAGTTCAACAAAATCCATCACCTGCTTTGCAGCATGCTTCTCCTGCTCATCAGTCGTATACGTAGCACCCATGAACACGAGCGCTGCAAGCAGGGGTAACGCGACGGTGTTCACATTCAGTGATGCAAGGTGGACCATCGCACAACTGGGCTGCCAGTACTCGAGGTACATTCGGACAAACTTGTCGATGCGAGCGGGCGTCAACAGAAAGCTTAGATATGTTGACAAACGCTCCTGCGCTTGGGTATCGAGAGGGACCGACCACGCCCGTGCTAGAATCGCCTGATACAATCCGGCTGCGTACGGTTCTTCCGGCTCATATGTAGGTTGCGGGGCGAACGCGAGGCCGGGATCTGGTATCGGGGGAACCATCGCAGGGAAGTTGGCCCCACCAGCATAGGAATCGCCAACTATTTTGTTCACATTTCCAAACGGACCATTGAAGAAATCGAGAAAAGTATCCTGGAAGAACGATAGGGAAGCCGGGTCCGACTCGACGAACGCGGGTGCATAGTCTGACGGATCACCTGTCCGGAAGTTGAGCATTCTCTGCCCAGCATCTTGCCGACCCTTCTGATTATGGTACTCAAGGCCGCGAGCGCGATCGCTGCGGGGAGGAAGGAGGAACTCCTCGGTGAAACTGTCTGTACCACCATTGAGGAGAAACTTGATTGAGCCGCGATCCGAGGAAGCTCCGTAGTCCTCACGCTTCACCGAAGCCGAGCCGGAGACCAGCTCCAGGTTGTCGGCTGTTTGCTTGCGCTCATTGTTACACCGTAGGTTCCGCTTCTGACACGAGCTGCATGGGCTCAGACCATCGCAGCGCAGTTTCATCGATGTGCACTAGATGCCGACAATTAGCGACCATGTGGCGCACAATAGGCTGGGTATGCGATCGGCGGGAGGTCAGGGGGGAACTTGCCGACTGACAGGCATGTCGCCTTCGGCCTCTTTGACCGGTCTCCGGTATCTTTTGATCGCCGCGCTTGGCACAGTCCGTGTAGTGATCACGAAGGTTATCACTGAAGGTTGAGCGAAGGCATCAGCATCGTGGTTGGGTGGAGCGACCATGGCAAACATACATGCGCCGGTCGGGAAACCGACGACGGGCCAGGGGCGGGAGGGAGAGGAGAGCAGAACACGAACCAACGCGCAAAGGACTCGTTGCAGAAAACGCATGAATAAGGGCGGACACCGGAATCTGACGGACAAGGTTGAAGTTAGCGCAGGACGAACATTGAAGGATGAGCCAGACACGAGCCCGAAGCGGGCCGAGATGCAGGAAGGAGGGCGATAAATGTTGGAACGTACGGCGGAGATGATGTCGTTTGAGATGGTCAATGCGGGTGAAACCCCGCTGACAGATGGTGCAGCAGAAGTGCTTGCTCGCGGGCTTCATGGTTAGGGGCGAAGGACATGCATCGGGGAGAAGGGAGGGGAGGGGTGAGATTAACGGGGGGAGATGAAAGTCCGGGGTAGATGGTTGCTTTAGTCTAATTGAAGGGAGGGTGGGTTTGTGTGGGTGTGTGGAAGAGTTGGGAAGAGATGGCGATCGGAGCGGAAGGTCAGCAGCAGCAGCAGCAAACGCTATCGGTTCGCCGTCGGGGGAGTCCCTGGCACACACTGTGAGCACCCGTCTCCCGATCTGCAAGGGTAAAGGGCAAAGATAGATTGTCAGATCTCCGGTTAAGATCTAGCCGGCATCGATCTCTTGATAAATAGATGGAGGAGATTAGATTACAGAGGAGGCAGACGTAAAGATGATGAGGGGGTAAAAATTGAAGATACGAGACAGACCGGTGGAAGAGGGTATGACACCATTCCCCTCAAGCACTGAGACTTTATTTGGTCAAGAAGAGAGTGACAGTTGACAGGTCGGGGGGGCAGTGGAGAGAAGACAGTAGAAGAGGAGTAAGTTAAGTGGCCAAGGATGTCTGTCTTCCCCAGCCGGTTTTCTGGGGTTCTCCTTTTCGTGGACAAAAGTAATCCTGAAAAGTGACCGGCTCGTTCCGTAGTTACTCGTTACTCCCTCTTCCGTGGTATTTGCCCATACGCTCGGGTTCACTGACAATAAGCTGCCATCTAGCATCTTACCCGGTAATCTTACCATTGAGTGACGCGGGTTCTCGGTGGGCCCGACAAGGGAGACTGCCCTCCACCGCAGATAGATTACACACCACAGCACTCCTACTAACTATTACTATCCAGCATCACGCTTAAGCTATTCCAGGTGAACTACACACCTGGTTCACAGGTCGGGAACAACCGAAATCCCATTCGGAGTGGCCGGCAACAGAAGAAATGGCCGAGTCTCCAGACTGCATACACGGCTATCTGCTCAATTCTTCAATTGCTCAACCACAGTCAAAGGAAAGTCCACCTGATCATCATCCAGATAGTTCACCTCGATCGCGTTATTCTTCTCATTTTCCGTCCATCCATCCCCGATCCAGCCATTCGCGTTGTCATCGACATACTCATAGGTGAAGTCCTCCCACCGGGGATTCGAAAGTGTTTTCAGTGAGTGGAGAGACGATCCTGGCTAGGTCAATACGTGATCATCAAGGCCTAACAGCAAGAGAAATGTTCCATACCTGGCCACACCCCTATCACCCGTCCATCTTCAGCTCCCCCTTTATACCAGCTTCGGCATTTCTCGCTGTACACCGTGCGAGAGAAATACTGATCGCAGTGCCGCGTAAACCGTTCCACCGCATCCTTTCTAACTGACATGGATCGGATGTTATCCCGCTGCATCTTCTGCACACAGGCGGTGAAATAGTCAACCACTTTCTCCAGCAAAAGTAACAGGTTGCCCTCCCCCAGCGCCGAATTGGGCCCGAAACAGATAAAGTAGTTGGGAAATTCGTCGACTGCGATGGAGAGGTAGGACTCGGGGGTACTTTTCCACCGCTCCGCCAGCGACAGACCGTTACGCCCCGTGATGGGGAATCTGGGTGTGAAGCTAGTGTCGAACCCGGTGGCGCACACCAAAATGTCGGTGGGATGATGCACCCCATCGGCAGTGATGATGCTATCTGCATCAACCCGGACAATTTCGCTAGTGATGATCTGAACCTTGTCATCGGTCAAGGCCTCCAAGTACCCAGGCCCAGGTGTAAGTCGGCGGCAAACGGGCGGGAATGACGGAACGAGATCCACAAACAACTCGGGCTTCCTTGCCAATCGCTGTTTCATATTCTGGGCGAAGACATCTTTGGCCCCTAGCTGTTCTGGCGTGCCTAGCAAGGTTGCGCCGTGGACAGACTGTAGTTGAACCTCGATTTCTGATCATGTCAGCGCAAGCAGAGCAAAAGTGAAAGGGACGCCAACCTTTACGGAAATTCTGATAAGCACTGTGGTCCTTGTTGAACGTCTCAAGCTCGTCGGGAGTGAACGAGACTGGACATTCGATCAGCTAGACATTCATGGCCAACTTCATCACACTCACAGTTGTCTAATTTCGAACCTCGTCTCTCAACTTCTTCCCTAGCAAAGCTAGGTGCGATCCAGGTTCGGCTTCTGACATAGTGGTCCATGTGCGTCACTTTCGGTAGCATTCCAGGCACAATCTGTATACCGCTGGAGCCGTTCCCAATCACAGCGACTCTCTTGCCCTACGGACATTAGCCCAGATCAGCGACCCTTTTGGAGATGTTCAACATACACTGTAATCATAACTCTCATCCCATCTAGCGCTGTGCATCAGCTTTCCTTTGAAATCATGGAGACCTGGGATGTTCGGCCATTTCCATTCATTGAGGAACCCGGTGGCCGAAATCAACACGTCACACTGGTCTGAGTAGAGCGAATCACTACCTAGGTCCTTGACCTTCACGCCCAAAGGCTTGTCAGCTGCTACGCCCCATGGTGACATCCGATGTATCTGACCTTCAGTTGCCATTTGCTGTCTTTTTCGTTCCACACAGCCTCCACGACTTGCTGTTTGAACTTTATGCACTTCTCGCAGCCATATTTATCCGCTACTCTCTTCCAATACTGGTATATCTCTGGGGCTGCAGCATAGAAAGTGGACCACTGTTTGTTAGGCTCAAATGTGGCCTGATAGGTGTGGGCCGGGATGTCTACAGACCAGCAGAGTTAGCAAAGGCATAAGCAGGGGTAAAGATACACTACGTACCACATGCACAGCCGGGGTATCTGTTTTCCAGCCACGTGCCTCCGACATCTGCATTCTTCTCGTACACGCATAGATCCAGGTTGGGGATGCGTTGTCTGAAGCGAATAGATGCAACAATACCTGAGATCCCCGAACCGATAACAACTACTCTCAGGGGTCTAGCTTCATCAACGGAGCGTTCCTGCACAATCCACGGGTCAGGGGTCTTCTCAGGGGTGTTGGCAGTAGAAACGCCTAAAAATTGCGCCAGACGATTCATGATTCTTGGTGCAGAGCTAAAGACAGAGTATGGCTAAGTGTTGAAGAATGCTGCCTTAGAACGCATAAAACGGTCACCCTTATATGTGTTGCGCAGTTGCTGGTATATGCGGGACCACCCCTCTCTGTGCATAAGCTCACTCGTGCTACAGAATATGTCAGCGCTCATGCGAATATCGGCTGGACGCGAGGAACGACCGCGGCATTCTTCCGTCCCACCTCAGCCATCTGCGTTTGAGAGTTGTCTAAGGTGGGGTTGGCGATCAATGCCCGGGGAGGAAGCCGTGTAACCTTCCACCTTTGCTTGTCTTTCCGAAGTGTTGCTTTGAGCTGGAAGTGATCGTACCGACGTGATAATAGTGAGGGACCTTCTCTGTGGCAGAGTGGTATGAACCCCAGCCCGGAAATCCCCCAGCGATGGCAGTCAAGTGGAGTCTATACTGGAGATCAGATGGGCTCGAAGCAGCCCTGAATTCCAGGCGAAGTAAACGAGGATCCACGGGTGCTAGTGATCGGACGGGGAGGAAATTGATCCAGTGGGGACTGCGGGTGGTCATATAGCCAAGAGAGAAGAGACACGATAACGAAGTCTACGAGCTAGAGTTGTCTTTACCGTTTTTGATTTGGGCTGCCTTGTGAGGCGCCGGCACTAGCATGGGTACTGGCGGAGTAGAGGGTCGAATACGAAATAGGCGTGTGGATAGATGTCTCAGATTGGACCTTTAAGGGTATGCTCAAATTCAAGAGCTCTCTAGGGCCCTGGTGACACACGAGAAGCCAACAACATTGCCCAAGTTCGAAGAACCTTTTGCTTGACCGAACAGGCGCCTTGCGGTCTGTCTGGACAGCGTGAAGCTGCACCTGTAGTTGTGAGCTTTCAAAATGACGGCTATTAGCGGTTAGCCAATGGCGTGCATTTGTGTGATATATCGCAGACCCGATAAGTCCGGGACCTGCCCGAAATTGAGTAGCGCCGGCAGTAGCGTTGGTAACCGACTTTAATCCGTATATCCAGCCTATCAGGGAACCTCCTCGCCAGGCGAACAATGGGAAAAGCAACGATGCAACTGCTGCCCCCACTTGATTTAACAATTGACAGCAAACCGCCCAGCGCCACCAGAGAAGAGCTGCTATGACGAAGGGGCTTCACCGGATGGCGCACGTATCCCAAGATGGGGGATTGGCTGCCGAAGACGGCCATTTTCCCAAGCGAATGTGGGCCGCCCTACTAGCGGTTCTACCCAATATTGAGTTCACGAGAGTGGACTAGACTAGTCTGTACGATTGCTCTGGTACCGGATATACTAGGCCCCAGTTTCAATGCCCCGGTAATAGAACAGCCGTAACTCATGGCCGGAAATCCCCCTCACGCGGGAGCAAGAAGCGGAGGCGGAAGTGATCCTCTGGTCTGCGTGTCACTATCCGGACCATTTGTCCGCTCATTTCTGGTCTTGGTGGACCCGCAGCCCCCGCATGAGTTCTTGTGCCTCCAAGATGGCCGGCATTGTCTCTTTCGAGTTAACGCAGTTTCATACATAGCCACTTTGTGTTTTTCTTTGTGGTGTGAATCCCTATTGTCCTGCAAAGTATAACCCATAGACAGATAGTCTGGTACTGTTTATCTTACAGCGGTGACGCACGGCTGGTAACAAGTCGAGTCCTGACAAATCCAGAAGGTGGAGTCTGCCAGAACTTTCGGTCAACTTAGGACCTCACAGGAGCCGACATCGTACAGTTCAACTAAACGCACATACCTGTCTCCCAGGGAGTTAAACAATTACTTGGCTCACAAGGCCCGACACTTCGTATATTTTGAGTCTAGAAGGTCAAATGATCTGGGGTGTGGCGGCCGTGAGGTCATAAGGATGGCGGTTCCGTGGTAGGCAGAAGTTCCCTTTTCCTCGGAAGACATTCCAGGTTTCTATGGTGTACCTCTCGCATTTCATCTCCTGCACGGACCTATGTCGTAGGGGCAATTAGCTCGAGGCAGTTAATTGGTGAAAGCAGACAGATTCCCAGATTGCTTACCGCTCAACCACTGTCGGACTTTGAACTGAGGTTTCCAAGGAACTCCGGCCATCATCGACGGTGCTGTGTGCGTACCTCATCGTAGCAACCCCACACTTTCAAAAGCCGCAACCTGTCAACGCTAGGACGGAGTGGCTAGTCGTAAGTCCACGATTCATATTGTTGGTTGCAACCAGTCAGAATCGTAGGATCGGCGGGTTATGGAAACATTGGGGCCCTCGTCTGTTACGCGAACCGGCAAGGGTGATGCCGATCAGGGCGATTGGTGAGATTCTAATAATCAGCCGTCAGCAAATGGCTCTCCACCTCTGCTCAGTCAGCCTCCCCTAATGGGAGCTGGTGCCTGAGGCCACACACCCACGGCCAACCAGCGTGGGGGATCCAAACAAACCAGACGGGACTATATCCTGTCCAAGATGGCTTCGTGGGGACTACCCCAGCAGTCATATAGCTGGCCAAGATCCGACAGTGGTTGACGGGACACTTGTACCTTTCTAACATGCCCGGCAATTGAATTTCCAACCACTTAGTGACCCTGCCATTCAGTGCCCACCAGCTAAGTGCCCACCAGCTACAAGCCCTCGCAAGTCGAGTGCGTTCTTTACACTATACCAGTGGTTTTTATTTCAATCCCGGATCTTTAGAACCCCAGACTCGGCCAAAAATGCCTGTCTTCACAGAGTTTGCAGCATCCTCCCGTGAACTTCGTGTTCTTCCCTCCTTCGCGCCGCCCCTACCTCGCCTCAGCCCAAACGATCCTCGCGATGGAGTCCCAGAGAGATACGAAGTCGTCGTTGTCGGCGCTGGTCCTGCCGGGCTGATGCTCAATCTCCTTTTAGCCAGATATGGACTGAACGATACATCACTATTGTGCATTGATGCTAAACCGGGAACGCTTAAATCTGGCCAAGCCGACGGCCTCCAACCCAGGACACTCGAAGTTTTGAAAACCCTGGGGCTAGCGGACGAGATACTCACCGATGGATGTCACATGGAGGAAGTTGCATTCTGGAACCCTTCGCCCAACAAGGATGAGATCATTGAACGGACGGCGATAGTGCCTGATGTTGCCGTGCCGGCGCGCTTCCAGCACGAAGTCACAATCCACCAGGGTCGCATTGAGAGAATTCTGGAAACCGATCTCCTGCGGTACTCGAAAAGGGGAGTGCAGCGAGATACTAAACTCTTAGACGTGAAAATCGATGAGGATGGCGATTCAGAATTCCCCGTTGTGGCGGAGATCGAGACTGCTGGCCAACGACGGACGGTTCGATCGAAATATTTGGTTGGTGCGGATGGCGCCCATTCCGTGGTCCGTCGTTGTATGGGTCTGAGCTTGGTGGGCGAGTCGCTGGATCACATCTGGGGTGTTGTCGATCTTGTTGTCGATACCGATTTTCCTGATATCAGGAGACGCTGTGCGATCCATGCCCCGGCTACTTCAGTGATGGTGATTCCACGAGAGCGGATTGCGACCGGTGACTACTTGACCCGGTTGTATGTTCAGGTGCCAGACGAAGCCACCCCAGATGAGGACCAGAAGCCAGTAAATGAGTCCACACCAAAGGACGCTCGAGCTCGCAGGAGCCAGGTCACTCTCGACGGAATCTTTCATGCGGCGGCCGAAGCCTTCAAGCCGTACTATATCCGACCGAAAACGGACGGCGCCGTGGACTGGTGGGCGGCGTATCAGATTGGCCAGCGAGTGTCGAATCAATTCACAGTGAAAGATTCGAAGGGAGCTAATCGGGTTTTCATTGTAGGAGACGGTTCGTATATTCTTTCTGATTTGAGTGCTGCATGCTGACTCTCATTTGTGACAGCTTGCCATACTCATAGTCCCAAGGTACGCATCCGCTAAAAGATCGTGACGAGCTTCGGTATACTCATTCACTTATTTTAACAGGCAGGCCAAGGGATGAATGTCTCGATGATGGATTCCTACAACCTAGCGTGGAAGCTTGCATACGCAATAAACGGTCTTACTCCCGCCTCGACATCGCCAGGAAAGCCGGATGCTGTTCTGGATACATACCACACTGAGCGTCACACGATCGCCCAGGAGCTTATAGAGTTCGACCGTGCCTTTTCGTCCATGTTCTCTGGAAAGATCGGCGCAGCAGAGGACGGCGCAGGCGGCCTGACGCACGAGCAGTTCTTGCACGTGTTCAGTACTGGCAACGGGTTCACCAGTGGCTGTGGAATTGAATATCCTGAGAGTCCGGTCGTGCAGAAGGTGCAGGGTGCCAAAAAGAATCCAATTGAGGGAACTGACTATCTCTCTGGCATCCTTCGTCCGGGTCGGAGACTGCTGAACGTCAAATACCGTAGACATGCCGATGGGAACCGGCGGAACTTGCATGATGGTAAGTCCAGGTGTAGGAAAGCACGGAAAGCACTGAGACCTCAAAAGCCGATGGTAGCTAACAGGAGCAGATTTCTTGTCAACTGGTCGATTCCGTATTCTTTGTCTCACGTCATATGATCTGTTGTATCCGAAGGGTGTCTCTGCCCAGACATTGCGGACGATAGGGTCTGCAGTGCTGCCCCGGTTCCCTGCATCCGTGATTGAGCAGGTTGTGATCCATCCTCGTCTGTCTCGGGAGTTCACTTGGCGTGATTTACCAGCCGAGCTCAAGAGACACTCGGAGATGAGCTTTTACAGTGGCTACGAGATGGACGACGTGTACAAGATCTACGGTGTAGATGCTGCCCAGGGAGCTCTGGCTGTTGTTCGACCAGATGGATATGTGGGCACGGTAGCTGCATTGGACGACGTAAAACGGGTGGAGCAGTATCTCGAGCGGTGTTTAAGAACCGTCCAGACCGCGATATGATGCAGCGGTAACCGAATGTGCAAGGTCATCCTCTCTGGCGGAGACCCACAATCGGTGCTACCTAGAGTCTTATCGGGCACAAGGACATCGCTGCGATCAAAGAGGAGGCATTAGACTAGCAGGGACCGTGGGCGCATGGTGATGTGCTCTGCTTGGTCCAGGCCATCGGAGATCCGAACTGGTGCCTGACGGCCTTGTAACAGATGGTAGCGTCGATAGGTCAAATTGACAGCGCAACGAATCATGATTGGTAAATAGCATACATCGTCATTCATACATACATCAAGGTTGTCCTCAATGCATGGCCGCGAAAGCAGAGCATAGCCGGATAAAAATCCAGAACGGTATGAGTCAACTGTCTTGTCGGAGAATAGTAAGTGATCGGCAGCAACAAAGATAGTGACATGCAGGCGCCAACAGTGTAACACGATGGTGTATCGGACGTCCGCGTGCTGATCAGGCAGCTCAGCAGGGAATGCATCCCGTCAATCGCATCCTGCAGGCAAAGTTATCCATAATTGGCCAAAGTCTCAAAGAAAGGCGGCGGGGGCCGCCTCACGTGACCCACGTGACGTGCCGGACAGCCGACAGCCGAGCCTCCAGCCAGTCACGTTTTCCCATCACATTCCAGGCAATGCACGTTTGCAACGGTACACCTCCTCTGCAAGTTTTCTCGCTTCCCGTCAACGGACACGCAGTCATGGCCTCGTGCCAATCAAAATGACCCGAATGCAATGCTCACAGGTCGGATTGCCCGTTTCGATCATAATGACTCGGGCCATGCCGCTCCCGTGCACAAATCGTTGATAAGCGTGGAGCCGGGACGACTGGTGGACCAGCATCAAGCTTCACCTGCTGACCAATGATGGCTTCATCCAGTGCAAATTCTAGAAATTCGCCCCACATTCGGCGTTAACGGGGATTTTATCACCGTTTCAATAGCCATGGATCAGTCAGGATGATATAATTAACCGGGCTGCCCCAGGCCCAGGTTTCAGTTCTGTTTTTACGGTGTTCCTGTTTAAGTTTTGGCTTGGCTGGGAGCTGTAGATATAGTTCCCTTCTCTGCCTTTGGTCGAATTCTGTGGTTATGTCCAAAGAACATTCGTTTTCGGAAGCCGGGTCCACCAGGTCGAGGTCTACGTCGCTGTCTAGCTCAGATGATGGGTCTTTGTCGGGACGACCTTACCGACTGGGGACGTTGAGGACGCGGACAAGATCGAGGTCCAGACACAGTACCACACAGGTGGAAAGAGTACATTCCGGAAGGCATCTAGATGATCATTCTGTCTATCACAGCGATAATGAGCTGGATTTGGACTCATCGTCCGACGACCCGGGGGAGAAAAACGAGCCTGTCCTCGAAGTACGCGGGGGTGTGGTGAATGAGCGTGACCGCGATCTGGAAGCTGGAGCCCAGGCATCAGGCTTGGAGAAGTCACGGACTGCACGGTCAGACAAATCTAGAGCGGACCCTAAATTAGTATGTCTGATTTCTTTGCTGTATTTCTAGCGCTAACAGGATAGGTCACCTGGGATGGCCCCGATGATCCAGAGAACCCTAAGAACTGGCCAATGAAGAAAAAGTGGGCGGCAGTGGTGACAGTATCTTGCTTCACCTTCATCTCGCCCGTATCCTCCTCCATGGTGGCACCAGCCCTAAGTGCGATATCTGCAGAGTTCAACATCACGGACGAGGTCATCTCACAGCTCACTCTGTCCGTGTTCATTCTTGCTTACGCTGTCGGGCCGCTCTTCCTCGGACCGCTTTCCGAGATCTACGGTCGAGTGAAAGTTCTACAGTTAGCCAACCTCCTGTATCTCGTCTTCAACATCGGCTGCGGCGTATCACAGACCAAAGTACAAATGATCGTTTGTCGATTCTTCGCCGGATTAGGCGGTAGCGCTCCACTAGCAGTAAGCAACCCCTCACACAGTTCAACACACCCATCTAACAAACTAGATCGGTGGTGGTGTCCTCTCAGACTGCTTCAAGCCCGAACAGCGCGGCAAAAGCGTAGCCATCTACAGTCTCGCCCCCCTCCTCGGGCCAGCCGTCGGCCCCATTGCCGGCGGCTTTATCGCCGAAAACACGACCTGGCGCTGGGTATTTTACGCGACGTCCATTGCGGACGGCGTAATCCAAGTCGCCGGCCTCTTCTTCCTGCAAGAAACATACGCCCCCATAATCCTCAAGAAGCGCGCCAAGAAACTCCGCAAGGAAACCGCCGACACAAACTACCAAACCGAATTCGAGCGCCAGAACAAAACCTTCGGACAGGTCATGCGCGCCGCCCTCATCCGTCCCTTCCGCCTCCTCTCCACCCAACCCATCGTCCAAGCCCTAGCGGCCTACATGGCCTACATCTACGGCACCATGTACCTAGTTCTCTCGACCTTCCCCTCCCTCTGGACCAGCCCAGAATACTACAACGAATCCACCGGCATCGGCGGCCTAAACTACATCTCCTTAGGTCTGGGCTTCTGGCTCGGCTCACAGATCTGCGCCCCGCTAAACGATCGCATCTACCGCCGTCTCAAGGGTAAGAACAACGGCGTAGGGAAGCCCGAGTTCCGCGTCCCGCTGCTCTTCGTGGGCGCGTTCCTCATTCCCGCCGGCCTGTTCATCTACGGCTGGACAGCCCAGAAACACTGCCACTGGATCGCCCCGAACATCGGTGCGTGTCTGTACGGAATGGGCAATATCATCTCCTTCCAATGTCTGCAGACGTATATCGTCGACTCGTATACACGGTTCGCCGCCAGCGCATTAGCAGCAGTGGCGTGTATGCGCTCGCTCGCAGGATTTGGATTCCCACTGTTCGCACCGTATATGTATCAAGCGCTGGACTACGGATGGGGAAATAGTCTATTGGCATTTATCGCAATAGGGTTGGGAGTGCCGGCGCCGGTGTTTCTCTGGAAGTTTGGGGAGAAGTTAAGGAAGATGAGTACATATGCGGCTGGTTGATACTTAGTAAATCTACTACTGTATATGAAATAATTCTGTTCCAAAGTAGATAAAGTACTCTGGAGGGATTTTATCAAAGATTTAGTGTAAATATACTACTTTCTAATAATTAAAAGAAAGAATTAGAAATTATTAGAAACTATTTAATATAGTAAATATATTCGTTAGACAAGGCAAAAGCAGTTGAAGTAGTTTTTTATTAACTGGCAAAATAATTGCTAGGAATTTCTAATTCTCCTAAAGATTTTAAGGACTAATATATATTCTAAAATGAAAGGGATTAGGTCTATACCAATATAAAAATCCGGATTAGAAGCCCAACAAATCAGTATAAGAATTAGTATTAAAATAGGAGCTGGCGGCCGCATGCCACAGGTGTTGTACAACAAAATCATAGCTATTACATAGATCTAGAAAGGCCTAGATAATAGGCCTTCTTTATTTATAAATGAATACCTACTTTTTTAACCCTTTTTCTTTTACGAAAACTAATTTATATAGTTTCATCTTTATTACTAATTGCCTTAGTTTTTTAGAGGTATATTAATAGGTTTTTAAGATTGTATATAACACTGCCGCTTGATATATTAAATAGAATTTAACTATTGTCCAAAGCTACAATAACTAAAACAGTTCTGCCTTCTTATTCTACCAAGTTTCTTGTTGATATAGCTTTTTTAGTAGATTAGTAGGTAGTTGTTTGGCTTTTTCCTAAGTAGGGTGGAAGGAACGCGAAGTGGTGGCCGGGCCGCTTGTGTGGCCAGGCCGCATGTGGATTACATTATAGCTGTAGCTAGTTCGTATAATACAATCAATCAACAATATTTTGGATGGCTTCAGTTCCTTGGCCCTTGATGTAAATCCTCCAACAAATTTGTGCTAGCACACTTCGGCTGTTCTCCAGTATTAGCCTTCAAGGTCTTCGTCAAATCTTGTCAACCGTCGCTCACTCTCCTTTTTAAAGAACATTCTGGGTCACGAGAACAATACAGAATATGATTATGGTAGTTTTCAACTCGTATGGCAGCTAAAGAAACAAACAAGAGCGGTACTTCAAGAAGTCAAGAAGATACTGAGACACAAAAAGCACTATTCAGACATATCCAAATCTCTTGTTGACCTTTTTAGTGTTCCAATCTTGATTGGCCTTACATGTCTGGGATCGTTCCCTTCATAAGCGAGCCAGTCTCGATAAGCTCATAGTCAGGCAATTCAGCCAGCGACTCCTTAATGATAGCAATACCGCGTCGGAAGTCGCTTTTAGGGATATTTAAAGTGATCCCAAGTCTAACACAGTCACTGTCAGGATAGCTCAAAATACCTTTATATAATGCCAACATACCAAGACGCCGCGTGGTAAGCTTAGAATCATCAGAGCACTTGAAGTAAAAACCCAAATCAGGGCCACACTTCGTGCGAGGAGTTAACCTCACAACTTTACTCATGTCATTTGGGGGTATCGAAATCATTGCGAAGAGAGATTTCGAGACGTGTGCGATAGTATGAAATTGATAAAGTCAACGTCGAACAAACTGAGCAGGTATGGAAACGGCATCTCTCATATTCATACATAGCTTATTTGGCTCCATCCTAGCTCCAGATGGCAATCGTTACGCTGGCTCGAATCTATGATTCACGATTGCAATGGGCGAAGAGACCCGATAAGCGCGCAAAGCAGGGTCATTGGCTATCTTTGACTATTCAATGCTCCACAACTACCGGCTTATCCTCGGGTCCATTCAAGGTTTGTCTTTCAGTTTGCAATTTTACGACCGGCAGCGTCTTCTTCCCCCAAAAATCTGAAAATTCAAAGTAACATGTCCCACCTCGGCATCTAGGACAATAAAGGCGACTCTTGGTGGAATGCAGAATTGTTGAAAATCGATCAGGCTGCGGGGTAAATTTAAATCCTAAAGTAAAATCAGCACACCAACACCTATAATAACCCTCAAGTCATCCTGGTACGGTCAAAGCAGGGAATCGAAATTCCACTCATGATGCTGCTTTCTTGTGCCACATGCGCCCAGGATATCCTTTTGTCCATGTAGATCCCGTTGTGAGACACTGCAATCTTAGTTGTTTAGCTGTGTGGCTCACCTGATGTTCTTACAATCCTTAGTCAACTTTCTTGAATTGAAACGTTGACGTCAACAACTCAAACGACTCTGGGTACGTGCAACTTGCAACAGGAACTCCACAACAGAAATTGACATATACCTTAGAAACTACACAAATCTCTCATTGCCTGTGTTAACAAAAACATGCACTATGGATGCCAGCAGAAAGCTCGGGTCACCAGTGCCCCTTGTCATAGGCAGAAAACACCTCCCATCACCAAACATGTTCGACGTGCACAATTAAAAGACTAGTGGCTTTGCATATGAATGCAGAAACTGCAGACGAACCTGGACTTTCCGCCGTCGATGCCGCACCTAGTGCTCTCGAGTCATGGAGAGATACTAGCCCACCTGCTCGCAGAGATCTTTTCCTCGAAGCCGCTGAGCTTATGACAAGCCGACTGTCAAAACTGGGAAATGATATGATCCAGGTAACTAGGGCTCAATCAACGTGGGCTAATTTCAAGGTTGACAGTGCGTGGGAATGCTTTCTTGACTGCGCGAATAGAGTCATGACCACTGAAGGAAACATGCCAAGTCTAGCGAACTCCAGCCAGGTAAATATACAGCGTTATTTTGGAAATGGCACTATGGTTAGTTGTCAGCTATAAGCGAGATCCCCGAGGAAGAGAAGCTGATATTGATTTCACTACCTAGGAAAGCGCAGCTTCCGATCAGTAACTTATGCACTGGCCGCGGGAAGTACAGTGGTCCTTGAGGGGTCGGAGCTCTATCCACGCACATTATGGGCGATCTGGTCCATCTACAATGAATCTGGCTTTCCCTCCGGCCTGCTCAATTTCATTGCCTGCAGCCTTACCTCGGCGCCGACAACCCTCAAAGCTATCATAGAGCCCCCGGCAACTAATGTAACAACTTTTGCTGAAAGTAAGGCGATAGGTTGTGTGATCGCTCGGATTGCTGCGTCGTAATAAACTCCGTCCTCCTGGAGCTAGGTGGAAAGGCACCGGGTGTTGTTTGCAAGGTTGTGGACCTTGATTTGGCGGCACGAGAGCTTATACTTGGAGCTTTCAATAATGCTGGTCAAATTTGCATTTGCACTGAGCGGATTCTTGTTGTTCGGGTCGGTAGGAGTGAATTTGGGAAGAACTTGAAGGACTGGACAGGGAAGCTTTTTCATCGAGCAGCGATGCTGCTACGCTTATAGCTGAACAAGCCAGGCGAAGGAACTGTAATCTGGTATTGGATGCCCTTACAAAATGGCAAGAATTGTCTATTGTGGCTTCAAGAACGGGGAAAAAAAGGGGCTACACAGATTATACGCCCTGCTACTTTTTGCGATGCAAAGCCAAACATGGAGATGTACCAGGCAGAGTCCTTTGTGCCAACGGTGTCTCTGATTCAACTCGACGGCAAGGATGAGGCAGTGAAGATCGCAAATAAAATCTTCTCCTGCAATCTGAGACGGGCACTGCGCCTTGCAAGAATCATTAATTCCGGTGCTGTTCATACCAACAGCTTGAATACTCATAGTGAGTGCATTATGGAGGAGTAGTGGATGTAGGATGTTTGGAGGGAATCTAAACAAAAGGCTCAGAACAAAAGGTATTATTCATAATTGCCAGGAAGATGTGTGAACTTGAGCAGTCTTCGTGAGCACGGATTAAACAAAGCTTGTGAATCATATAAAGCCAAGTAGAAAAGACTTACGCATTAGCAACTGACGACAGAGTTTTAGATGCAAGAAAAGAAGATTTGTTGCACAGTCATGCCGCCAATGGGTATCTCCACATTTCCTTTCCTTGTCTTAATGTATATCGCATCTGGTTAACCGAACACCGATATGAGCATATTTGCAATAACACGGTTCTCACAAAGAACCATTCTGCAGATAGTATTTTCAATACACAGATGGCTGCATGGATGTCAGGGCGGTTGAAGTGGGTCCTGATTAAAGAGAAGATGAATACACCAATAACCAATAGTGTTCTACTCCGCGCTTATCGGAAAACCTCAAATTGGTCTTATCAACAACGCAACAGTAACTGGATGCCACATTTTACGCTATGGCAAACCCCGCATTTAGACGGGTTAATGTTGGGCTAAGTTGTGCTCATCACCCTATCAATCACCCAGATGAGGCCCCTGACCGTGCAGCTATCTCAGATATTAAGAACTTGGGGAAGCACCAGATAGGAAACTTGGTTGAGCTATATGACTCCTTTAGGAAACGCCATGATATCGGCCAAGTTCGTTCCGATTTTACTGGTATTTAAGATCATCCTTGTCTCCAGAAGGTAGGTATCTCAATACAAAGCCCGCAGAACTTTGCACCACTGCTTGACTGTCTTCCCGGAGTCCTCCCGTTCTCAAGATGACTGCTGTATACTTACCGGTTGCCGTGGCTTCTGTTGGAGGGGCCATGTATGGCATTGACTCAGGTGAGAGAGCACCCGATCCCATGCGTGGCCTGGTAGATATATATCATACGAAGCTTGCTTATATGCCTCTTGGTAGGCATTATCGCGACTATTATTGGCCAGGAAGCCTTTAATAAGTACATGTTCCCTCTACACGGTGAAGATACAGCCTTGACTGGTGAGTTCCACTGTTAAGCGTTGACCCTCTTCCTTTACTGACGCACTACAGGTGCTGTCGTGTCACTCTATAATACAGGACAGTGTGTTGGTACCTTCATCGGTGGCTGGGCTGCAGACCGCATTTCTCGCAAACGAGCCATGACCTTGGCCTGTGTCATAGCCATCTTAGGAATCACACTACAGACTGCATCAGTCCACGTGGGCATGTTCATTGTAGGCCGCTTTTTTACCGGCCTATCATCGGGCATGATCCTCCCCGTCGTCCCAACCTATATCTCAGAGATATCTAAGCCCCAGAATCGTGGTATTCTGGTTGGCTTTCAGGGTATGGGAATAGCGTTGGGTTTCATGGCTGCTAATTGGGTAGGATATGGAGGGTCTTATGCCAAGGGAGATCTATCTTGGCGTATTTCACTTGCCATGCAGTATCCATGCGCTGTTATCCTTTTGGTTGGCTCGTTATTTATCCCCTTTACGCCTCGATGGCTAGTGTCAAAAGGAAGAACTGAAGAAGCCCATACGGTGATACAGAAACTGCACGTTGGCGAGGGGTCGGAGTACATTAATCGAGAAATGGCTCAGATGCAGGAGCAATTTCTTCTTGAAGAAGCTGTCAAACCTGGTTCTTTTATGAAGGGGCTTGCGCAACTGCTTTCGAGGAAGTATATCAAACGGGTCGCACTCGCCTGCTTTGTTCAAGCTATAACGGAACTTGCGGGTGTCAGCGTCATTCAGAACTTCCAGTCTATGTAAGCACTCTACTTCACTGACTTGATCACATGTCATATTTAGGTACTGATATTTCCTAGCTTCTATGCCACCGTCGGCTTTACCGGTGAAAAGGCTTTGCTTATCAGTGGCATCTACGGCTTCATGGGAGTCATTGGGCAGTTGATAAGTCTCGCCTTTATAACTGGTAAGTGCATTCTTCCCAATCATTGATATGTCCATGCTAAAGGGCTTCAGACAAGTGGAAGCGTACAACAAGACTTTGGGTAGGATGCGCAACTCTCGCCACAAACCTCGCAATATGTATGGCCCTATCCGCTCAATTCGGAGACGGGACCAACCTCGCAGCTTCCAGAGCCGCAATTGCCTTTATCTTCATCTACTCCTGCGCGTTTTCCGTGTTCTTCAATTCTACTGTCTACGTTGTCGCTGCTGAGCTTCTGCCTACTTCCGTGCGCTCTAAAGGCGTAGCACTCTCGACATTCTGCACTAGTGTTACTGCAATTGTGATGACACAGGTCGCACCGTCTGCGCTGGATAGAATTGGCTGGAAGTTCTACTCTGTCTTTATCGCAACGAACTGTCTTGGGTTGTGCATCTTCAAGTTCTTCCTACCTGAGACACAGGGCCTCAGCCTCGAGGAAGTCGGAATTATTTTTGGAGATGAGCCGCCAACGAAAACGGATGAAGTGGATGCCCACAAGGTGAGATCCATTGATGCAGAGCGTAAGCAGGTATAGCTGGCCATATCAGGTCTAAGAGATCACGTGATTTGTATATAACAGTGATGTGATAAGGCATGGGATGACCGAGGTCTCACAGGAAGTAGGGTTAGGCTTCAATACTTTTTGGGGGCCCGAGTCAGTACCACCGCCCGATCCACGGTGACGCAATGCGTCCATATCCGACATGCTTACTAATAAGCTTCATTATTGCTTCTGTAAATGGTCTGGCATCATGTGTGCAGGCAGTGTTCCACATGACCCAAAAAAAGCTGACTTGAACTGTGTTCACCATAAGATTGGGTCACTACTACTTATATATCAAGATAGAAATACAATAATTCACAGCCTCAATCGAACAAACAATCATCCATAATTACACACACCCTCTTCATCCATGAAACGAAAAAGAAAGGAGAAAGCAAGACAAGGTGGGAAGATGAGAAGATGGGAAAGGGATAATAAAAAAACAAAACGACAAGGACGTGATTCGAACACGCGCACCCGAAGGTATAAGATATCGTCTGTTGGATAAGAAACAATCACCGTATTTCAGGTAATCATCCCAAAAGCCAGATTCAAGTCTTACGTCTTAAACCACTCGACCACCTTGCCGTTGTTCATTGCAGTTTTGTTTCAGCGGGGGTTTTGGCCACTATCGAGTGGAGTTGGGGGTATTATTAGTCAGCATCATTCATCCATTTGTGAATAGTTAGCTTTAATTAATTGAATGATTGGTTAAGTATTGATTGCAGTGTGGTTTAGTGAATTATTGAAATCAATTTAAGATATAAATTAGAAGAGAGTGGAGATAATATATTCTGTGTATTTTCGTGGAGTTTTCTGGGACAGGTAAGTTGATTGTAGACGGAATGGAATGTCCGTTTGGAGTTTATAGTTCAGCTTAGTATCTTTTTTTTTTTTTTTTACTTGGATGCAATGTCATACATACACTCAGGAATAGTCAAAAGTTAGCTTCTCTCATTGATTAATGGATATCTTATAGACGCCAACAGCGTGTATGGCAGTGAAAGAGTACTTATGCGTATAGTAACGATTAATAGTCGTTGACTGAATCAACTCTGATGATTATGTACCTGCAGAGAAGGAAGAAAAAAAAAAAAAAAAAAAAAATTCGGTACGTACACCCTCTTCGTCTATGGTAAATAAGTAGCTTGATGGTTCATAGAAGATGCGGTGGTTTGATGAGGGCTCTTTCTTACTGGGAAAAAAAAGCCATTGGTAGTAAGTTTTGCACGGCTAGTATTTACAATCATGTAGATGCTGAGTGGCATGTTGTATAAGTTAGCAAAATGATAATTTGTTCTTATAGATGTAACTGGAAGTACGGTTATGCTACCTCCGGACTTTGGGTGGATTATTATATCATCCCATGGGAATAGTAGGCTTAGTGGGGTAACTAATTTATGTCGCGAGCCACTTCTACATCTGCCGATGGATCGACGCACAGTATCACATTCATTAATGGTGGTCGCTCAGTGATATGGAGTTTCATTATAGCCATATATCACCGGGATACAGGCGTCATCTTATGCAAGCATTCTGATCGCACCATTAAGTCTGTATGCATTCACTTCACCCAACACCCCTCAATTCCGACCATCCACCAAACAGCCCATACACTCCTTAATCTCCTCCCCACCCCACACCCAATCCCTCTCCAACAACTTCTCCGGGTCCGGATCCCTCAAAAACGCCTCCTGAAAAGTTATCACAAAAGGCCCACCCAGCACCTCTACCACCCCCTCCTTCTTCCTCTTCACCTCAACCCGACGATCCAACTTCGGTCCCTCCTCACCCATCACCCACTTCTCAATCCCCAACTCCTCCCTCCCAACATCCATCAACACCACCGCCCTCACATCCCCCTTACTCCACTCAAGCCACAACCTCGCCTCCCCCCTCAAATACTCCAATCCCTCCGGCCAGCCCACATGAAACACCAAACTAGGCCAGGTCCTCGCCCGTCCAGGGGGTAAGTCACGCGGCCGCCAACTCAAATCCGGCTCCTTCACAGCATCTCCTTCGGCGACGGTCGTAGCACCGAGTGGCCTGAGGGCAAATTTATCCAAAGTATATCTGAACATCAGGAAGTCGTTATCGAAGAGCCCCTTGGCTAGTTCTTGTCGATGAGGGCCGCCCTTCATGATTAGCGTGCGGGAGGGGTAGTCGTAGGTGATTCGGGCCTTTGTTAGGAGGAATTGGTCTTGGTCTAGGTATTGGGTGATGAGGGTTGGTGGGACGTTGGTGAAGTGGAGGTAGGGCGTTTGGTTGGGGTCGGTCTTGTAGTAGAGGCGGCGTATGAGGGTTGGGCGGGTGTAGGGGTAGGTGGTGCAGAGGGAGCTTGGGGGGATGTTTGGGAGAAAGTTCTGGGAGGACATTTTGGAGGGTGGTGTGTATAGATGTATAGTGGATGGATTGTGATTCGGCGTTGTGTGATGGATGTTAGCAGTATGTTCCTTGCTGGCTGGGGTTAGTTATAGTTCACTGCAATGTCATGGCGGGTCATAGATGGAAGGGGGTTCCGGTGAAGGTTGCAACATGTCGAGGTTTCTTCTGACTAGAATTGCATAAAGTTATACTGACCTGACCAGCTTGGGATAGTTCGTGGGAATAGTTGAGTAAGATGCAGTCGAGGGAGAGGATGGTTCTTGGGATATTCAGTCAAGAAGAGATGATGATGCTGAGAAAACAGGCACAATGATCAGGTGACGAGCATATCTGTAAAACAGGCAGAGACTAATGAAATAGATAAAATTTAACATTGCTTCCAGCAACTCTTACTTATCCAATAAATCATCTCAGTACTCAATCTACGGACCGCTCACTCCATCTTTAACTCCAGTATCAGAAGTGATAAAACGAGCGACTAAGTTAATATTATTTCCTCGCTATCCTACATCTGCAACAACCAAGTACAAACAACACCTCACAATCAACTCATACAATTCAAAACTTAAGCAGAAGCACTGGGGGCGGCGCCGCCGCTAGGGGCAGAGCCACCGCCACCGCCCATACCAGAGCTGGACGAGTCGTTCTCGACTCCACCATCAGCAGTGTACTCCGCAGCAGGAGTGATCTCGCTGTTCTCAGAGACGTCGATACCAAGGGAGATCCATCCGAAGACACCGTCGCTCACATCATCACCGAGGAGGACATACTCGACGAAGGGGTCAATGGTGTCGGCCTCCTCAGAGAGGATGCTGTCATCAGCGTTCTCGGTGAGCTCCTGGGTGTTGGTGCTGTAGGGGCTGGTGGCCTCGACCTTGGTGATCAGGTCCTGGTCGAAGAAGAGCTGGCCGACGTAGTTGGCGTGGGAGGTGTAGAGACCGGAGATGGTGTTGTTGGGGAGAGCAGTAGTCTCGTTGGGGGAGTGGGAGAGAACTGTTGTTGAGTTAGTTATTGATAATTTTCTCAGAGGGATGGGACGTACCGTGGATGTGAGTAGCACGGCTGGTGTAGTGGCCGGGGAAGATGGAGTTGAACTGCACGACACCATCAGAGTCGGTCTGCTGGATACCGCGGAGGAAAGTGGCGTCCAGGTTGGAGGTGTCGCTGGAGTCACCGTTGCCGGAGGCAGCCACGCCAGAGTAGACACCCTATACATATAATCAGTATTGCACGACGCAGAGAGATGAGGTCAGTGGTAAGTGGCTTACAGTAGCGTTGCAGTGCCAGATGTCAATGTAGATTTCGGGGACGGGCTCGCAGGTGCTGGTGTCAATGAGCTGGATGTCCAGGTAGAGAGGCACACCCTCCTGGGTCTCGGTGATGTCGTTGCGGATGAGCTCGCCAGTCACATCTGGTCTGGTTAGCTACATAAATGCCTTTGGAGAAAAGATGGTCATACAGTAAGGACCCTGGGTGACATCCGGGCCAAGAACGCAAGTGGCGTTGGAGGCAAAGAGGACGTTGGGATCAGTCTCGGGGCTCACGTTCAGAGACGAGTGGTGGGTGGTGTTAAGGATGGTGTCGAGGTCGCGAGCCTTGAGAAGGGGAGCGTCTGTATCTTAATTAGCCTAGATCAATCTTGACCGGTAAGGTGAGGATCATACGGGTCTGCAGGCCCCTCTTCTGGCGAATGGCATTCACAGCGTTCTCGCGACGAGCAATGCTCTGCTTCTCAAGGCCGCGGGCCTTGAGCTTCGCAGAGCAGTCGCTCAGACTACGAGGAGCACGCTTCATAAAGGCAGCGCGCTCAGCAGCTTCGGCACGGATATCGTGGCCGGGATGAGCAGAGACGACGCTGGCAAGGCCAGCCAGGCCGGTAAGGAGCGTGTTAAGCTGGACCATCTTGATGGATATCAACTGAAATGAGGGAAGAGATTGAAGGTAGAAAATGAGCGGTGATGAGGATGTTGTTGGATGCTAATGAGATCTATCCCCGGGGCAGGTCGCTTTATATCTTTTTTCCAGAACATCATGCCCGTCAAGACGATGCTATCCAGCTGACGCAACCAAGAGACCAGACTGCCAAATGAAACGCCGGCAATTGTTCAGCTGTCGCCAAGGGCTTGGATGGCTTCGAATTGCTTCATCGTGCTGGGGCCAGACCTTTGGTAGGTAGGGCACGATCCCCCATGACGACGCGGCCCGACATCCACATGTGGAGAAGGGGTTGCTAAATTATGGCTAAGTTGTGACAGGCTTATGCATAAATGGGCGTCTTTTCAGGTCCGCAGCGTTTTCGGTTTAGCTCAGGGTAGTCCAGGGTAACCCATCTCGATAATTGGGACCTGTATGGGTCTTGAGAAGCTTCTAGCTTCGCTAGCTAGATGTCTCCAACCAGAAGGGTAGCCATGGAAGTTGAAATCTAGTCACCATAGTATCTCATACCTACCAGCAAAAGCAGGTCAGCCTTTTTATTCAGAACGTATCCCTCCAGTCCAGTCATTCCAAGATTCTGAAAAGAGAACAACGAATACCTCGGCCAGTCATCAGTCAACAGCAAAGTATGCTCCAACAGGATCTAACTCCAACACCCTCGCTACCGAGCCACGATCCAAGTTGATCGTCGTCTCCACCAAGTGGATGTGCCGCTTAATCATCCAGTTTGAGGAAGCTTGGCACCACCGGCAATTGAATGTCCCAAATATCCGAAGCTTGTCGTCCTGTTAATCAATCTCCTTGCTGCAAAGACTGTCCACAGGGTGCTTAATGATCCGGATGCCGCCGGACTTGGCAACCAGGAGCAAACAAGGAGCTGTCGACACACATGCAGTTTCACGGCCCGAGGACCTCGAAAGGCTATTATTGGCCGAATCAATCAGTATCGGGCCATTCCATGCATCGGTCACGCCAATTATCCGTGATCTGAATGGAGAGAATCCGGAGGACTGTGGCGCGGACTGACAGGGCCGAAGTTGAACCGTTCGAGGAATAATTTCCTTCCACAAGCAAAGCAGATGGCCGTGCGTAGATCAACAGCATAGTCAACGCGGATCAAAGACCATGCCCTATCATGTAAAACCCAAGATTAGCACACCTCCAGCACAGAGCCTTGCAGCCAATGCCAGTATGAACGTCGTCATCTAGCATCGTACCCTTATCACAGCCTCCCATCAAGGGCACGAAATGGAGACAGCCAGCACGTA